TACTGAATCATTTCTCACTACTCGAGAGTTAGGAAATAAAATGAACTCGGATCATCTTATTCATTTTGAAAATAAGTTGCGGTTTGAAAATGGAAGATATGAGGCACCGCTTTTGTGGAAATCTGAGACTGCTCGTGAAAATTTATGCAATAATTTTGAGATCGCGGAAAAAAGATTTTCTTTACTAGAAAGGAGATTTAACGCTGACGAATCTTTATTTGAAAGATATAATGATGTTATGTAAGAACAATTAAAAGTAGAGATTATCGAAACTTGTAATTCTAATTGTTTTGTGGGCTATACCATGCCGCATAGGGATGTTTTTAAAGAAAATTCTTCCAGTACAAAAACAAGAATAGTTTATGATGCCAGTAGTAAACGCGGAAATAATTTAAGTCTAAACGAATGTCTTATTTCCAGCGATAATTTAAATCCTAATCTTGTAGATATAATTTTAAAATTTCGGGAACATAAAATCGGATTTTGCGGAGATATTGCTCGAGCGTTTTTACAAATACAAGTTTCGGAATTTGATAGCAATTATTTATGTTTTGTCTATTATAAGGATTGCGATAAAACTCAACTCCCTACAATGTTTCATTTTAATAGACACTGTTTCGGAGTCACCTGTTCACCTTTTGTTTCGGCAGCAACTATCAAAACTCATATTAAAGCTTATAAAAATGTGCATCCTCTTGCATATGAAATGCTGAAAAATTTCCTCGGTGTTGATGACCTCTTTTATGGAAGTTCTTCTGTAGAAGAAGCCTTTCAGTTATCAACAGACGCTGTTTCTATTTTAAAGGATGCAAATATGACAATGAGAAAATTTGACACAAACTCGAAAGAACTTAAACATTTATGGAAAAACTGTAATTCCAAAATAGAAATTAATGAAGATCCTAATTCTCATTTAAAAGTTTTAGGACTTAAATGGAACAATGAAAGTGATATTCTCGAACTTGATTTAAGGTCTTTATTGTCAAACTTAAATGCGAATAAATGTTTTTCATATTGCTGCTAAAATATTTGATCCATCTGGATTTATTTCTCCCATTTTGATTCCTGTTAAATGCATTTTACAAGAATTATGGCAACTTGGAATTGATTGGGACAATGAGTTTAGCGGTGAATTAAAAGACAAATGGATAATATGGTGCAATGAAATTAATGAACTTCAGAACTTGAATATTCCTTGATATTATTTTCCCTGATTAAAATTTAGTAGACAAAGACATGCAACTGCACATGTTTTCCGATGTCTCACTAAAGTCTATTGGAGCTGTAGCATACTTCAGGTACAAAACATCTGGAAGTACTTTTAGTACTAGTTTTGTAATTTCTAAGTTCAGAGTAGCACTCCTTAAGAAATTAACTTGACCTAGATTGGATCTAATAGGAGCTATCATAGCCGCAAGAACGGTGAAACATCTCAAGGAACTATTTAAAAATCTTGAAGCGTCCAAATGGAAGCAATTTGTGTCTAATAGGGTCACAGAAATCCAAGCAATCACAGATCCTAGTGTTTGGAGACATTGCATTGGCAAGGATAACCCAGCAGATATCTTAACCAGGGGAATTTCTTGCAGAGACATGATTTCTTCAAGAAAATGGTGGCATCGACCCGAATGGTTAAGTAACTCAGAAGACACATGGTCATGCACTCAAAAGTCTGAAATTGAAACTGACATTGAAGAGTTGGAATCCGAATACAGACCAAAAGTTTTGGTTTCCTCAACAATTGTTTGTGCCAAGTTAATAGATATAGCAGTTTAAGAAAACTATTAAGAGTAACTGCTTGGGTACTCCGTTTCGTCCACCTGTTAAAAACTAAACTTCAACCGAAGGGTCCCCTTACTTCCGATGAACCTGACAGAGTGAAACTATTTTGGATAAAAAAAATTTCAAAATGAAGCGTTCCAAAAAATAACTTGATTACAAAGAAACCTCTTTCCAAAGACTCAAAACTGCTTTGCTTAAATTCATTTCTTGATCCAGAAGGTGTCTTACGTGTCACTGGACACTTAGGCAAGACTGATTTATCAATGAATGAAAAACATCCTGTGATACTTTCAGCTGAATCCAAATTAACAGAGCTGTTAATTCGGGATTCCCATGAAAGAGTCTTCCATTCAAGTGTCTTTCACACATTAGTGCAAGCGAGCGAAAAATACTGGATTTTAAAGGTTAAAATCGCTACTCAGGAAATGTGTAATCTGTAGAAGATTCAATTCCTCTCCTGGAGACCAAGTTGTAACACCGCTGCCAGCTGAACGAGTGGAGCAATCTTCTCCGCTTTCCGTCATTGGAGTGGACTTTGCTGGTCCTCTCTTTGTTAAAAACAATGAAAGTAAACAATTCATCCTATTGTTTACATGTGCAGTGACAAGAAGTGTTCAGCTTGAGCTAGTGGGAAATTTATCAACAGATACTTTTTTCCTAGCCTTTCGCCGTTTCATTGCTCGACGTGGTTTACCATCGATAGTGTTTTCTGATAATGTGCGTACCTTTAAACATGCTGAATTGGAAATAAAATTGATGTGGTCAATTTTGAATGATACAAAAATAAAAGAATTTTGTGCCTATAATTGTATTAAATGGAAATATATCACCGAGAGAGCTGCCTGGTGGGTCAGTTTTTACAAATGCATGTTTATATCTGTAAAAGTTGCTCTTCAGAAAACCCTAGGTAAATCCTCCTTAACTATTGAACAATTGCTAACTGTTCTTTTCGAAATTGAGGCAATGATAAATTCTCGCCCAATAACTTACGTTGGAAGTGATGCAGAAGAGCCGAATGCCTTAACACAGGCTCACTTTCTTTTAGGTAAAAGAATAACATCTTTATCCCCGGTAAGACTTCACCTTGATACAAACCTCTCTTCTAGAAAAAACCTAATTAGAGCTTACAATTATCGAGAAAAATTAATGAGAAATTTTTGGTTGCGTTGGAAAAATGAATATCTTCTAAATTTAAGATTGATTAATTCAAATTCAGTTAAGGGTAATATCCCTCCATTTAAGATTAAAGGTATTGTATTAATCAAAGAAGATCATTTACCTAGAAATTTTTGGAAATTAGGTAGAATAATTGAGTTGTTTCCTGGAAGAGATGGTAAGGTGAGGGCGTGCAAGGTAAAAGCTGAATCTTCAGTTATTAAACGCCCTGTACAATTATTGCATAGTTCAGAAATTGCTAACTAAAGTTCAAACTTTTTAAAATTATCATTTGAAAATTAATTGGTATACCATAAATGTTATTGATGTCTATTAAAAAAAATATATAAATAAATACCTAAAATTGCATTTTTTACTTCTCTGCAATATTTAGTTAATGCAAATGTTTTAACTAATAATTTCTTGATTTAGTGTATTAAATGTTGTTTGTTAAACAATATTTTTCTTAATAACTTACATTCAAATTTAGTGGTTATATTTCTAAACTGAATATGCAGTGAAATTTAGATATTTGATTACTTTATTATTCTTATATATATTCTTATTCTCGTATTTGTATATGAAAAAAGTGTTTTATAAGTGTTTTAATTATCTTGAATGTTCAATATTGTTCTCCAGAATATTATCCAGAATTATTGTGCGGAAATTTATTACCTAAAAATTTTAATTTTTTTATAATAGTTCTATGTTTACAATTAAAGCATAAAATTAAGATTTGTTTTGTGTATTTTTGAATTAAGATCTAAAATTTGAATGTTGATGTTACAAAACTTTTTGAATATTATACTCTGAATTGAATAATTGTGCGAGTATAATGTATAATTGTGCGAGTATAATGTATAATTTGCTTCATAATTAATTAGGGTTAAGATTATCTAATGAATAGAATTTATTTGCAATTTGAAATATTGTGATTGAAAATTATCTTTAATCGAACTTTATTCAATGGTATATTGTATTTTAACAATTTTGATGACCCCCCCACGGTTCATGAGAGGGCTGTGTGTTACGAATTAATTCTATTACGGCGGAGCTAATCAGTCGCCAATCAAAATATTCTTTGTTTAGTTGTTCTCGATACACTCACGCTGGAAGGAGCACATCTCAAAAGCTCCTCTTGTTTTAATTCTCATGAATATTATTTTTGTTTTCAATCATTTCAGTCTAATTGCTATTTTTTGCTGTTATGTTTTGACCATAAATATAAAAAGCACATATTGACTGTTTATTGATACTAACCAGGGCAGATAATGGTAGAAATTTTTTGCATATATCTTGGCAGTACGCAAATCCAAATCTTGAATTAAGTTTTCTATCAGGTACCATATTAAATTTTACACGCTTAAATTGAAACTATTTTCATAATAATCATTGCTAAAAATTTGTATTGATCTTTTTATTTTATTTCATTTCATCCAGTTTCTTCCATTTTGTCCAGTTTCTTCTAAATAGCATATTTTATTAATGTCTAGATCCATATGTCTAGAAAAAATAGGTTTCTTCTATACAAAATATAAACCCTGATTTTTTTAAAAATGAAAAACTATGCTTAGAAATATATGGTAGCAGACACTAATTAATTCTGCACTTATTAATTAGCATATTTGAAGTGACCCCTTTAAACAATTAAGATTGAGTCTTAGAACACGATTTGTTAATAGATTGAAGATTTGTAGAAAAAGCATATTTAAAAAAAAATTGACATCACAAGGAAATCAATACCACCATTGAGTTCAGAAATGCGATTGGGAAGGTCAAAAGTAAGAAATTTACTGTTATAACTTAGCTAAAATTAATAGATGTTTAAAATATCATACTTTGTGCAGTCTGTTCTTTTCTGATCATCATGTAGTCCTCTTTATTTAACAGAGATTGGAACACAAACTTAAGAATAAAATTAATATGCTTATTCAACTAACTTTAAATTATTAATTTAATTTTAACCCTTAATTTAAATGTTAAATTTTTTCGTACATATTTTCATTGTGGAGACATAATATGCTACAGAAATCAAAAATAAAACATAAATAAAGGAAAACTACCTGCTTTTGAAGATTTGATAACTTTTTTATTTTGATAATGGCTCCAACTCTATTATCAAACTGAACAACATGAGTACCTTCTTCATCTATACTAAATTCTTTGCTCCATTTCCAGGCAAGGCTTTTAACACTTAACCATAAAACCTAAAATTATTCAAAACCAAATCAAATAAAAATATATATTTTTATGAATGCAGTGTAAAGTCGCATATCCGGAATCGGTGGGACTTCCAGAAGTCCGTATAATAGATTTTTCCGTATAATACACCCCCAAGGTAAACAAAGCTTAAAATGATTTAATAAACGATCTGAATCTAAGAAGCAAAAAATAAATAAACACTATTTTTAAGGGGAATAATGTTTTAGCATTAAAATATCTAATCAATCAAATATAAAATATTAGAAAAAAAATATTATTGCTGAAAATATGGAAAACGAAAAAAATTTAACAGTTACGAAAATATTAATCCGCCATTTTGAACTAGAACGATTCAAGCAGGAAGGGGAAATTCTGGAACAAAGCTTAAAATGATCTAAATCTAAGAAGCAAAAAATAAATAAACATTATTTTTAAGGGGAATAATGTTTTAGTATTAGAATATCTAATCAATAAAATATGAAATATTAGAAAAAAAATATTATTGCTTAAAATATAGAAAACTAAAAAAAATTTACATATGAAAATAATAATCCGCCATTTTTAACTAGAATGATTCAAGCAAGAAAGGGAAATTCCCGTCATTCATTAAGGTGGGTAGATGGAGGAGAAAAATTCATTTCCTCCTTATTTGTGAAAGAAAATAAGTGTAAAGAGGAGAATATTTAAGTTGAGGGTGAAGTAACAAATTATTGTTTTCTCTCCAATCATTGGCTATCAATCAAGCATAAAGGCGGGACACGCTGATCGGGTTCTCTTTATTTTTTCTTTTGTGACTGAAAGAATCTGCTAAAGAAAGAATGTTACCCCCTTTTTCCCCCCGCCTCCTAAATATTACATGGTATGGGGAAGAACGAATGTTTTGTTTCTCAAGGATGTGTATCCTTTTAGACCTATTCAAATTTTCAATTCTGACTCCCCGCCCCCGCCTTAACGCTTGCCCCGTTTACCCTTTTCCACAGTATTTCTTCTTTCAATAAAAAGGTTCCAGGAAATGCCTCTTTTACTAGCCACCTGCATGGGAAAGGAGGGGGGGGGACTCAGTTGTTTTCTTTTGAAAACAAATCTCCCTCTTTTTCCTACATTCCAAGGGAGGAGCGTCACGAACGGTCACTCAATGGTCTTGGTAGATCTTCACTTCCCCTTTCTGGTGATTTATGGGTTCGATGCATAAATCAGAGGTTCAGTGCAAGCTAGAAAAAAAGAAAATGTGTCAAAAGATCTTTTTTTCTTTTTTTTTTTTTAAGGAAGGGGGAAGATGGAGAGATGTTTGTTTATTTTGATTGTTAAAAAGTGTCCGGGAAATCGGCGTCCGGATATGGGACGTTACACTGCATAATGAATTGAAATATTTACTTGAAAATTTATTATGTGAAATGCACAAAAAAAAATCTCTATCTTTCTGAGAAACACAAATTTAAGAGACTTTAATAAAATATGAGTTAAAAATGTAAATTCTAACCTCAGAAATTTGCTACAAGTTAGTAAATTGCATTAATATTGCATTAAATGTCTGTATTAATAGGAGTATCCCCTGGATATGTAGCACAAATATGCCAGTTATCTGGAAAAGGGAGAAGCTTAATTTCCCTCCCCATTTATTTGGAGTGAAAATAAAAATAAACTATTGGAACCATAGTTTTCAGATTGCAGCTAAAACTCCATATTTTAAGAGTGCTGAATGTAATTGCATCAAGCAAGTGGATGTTTGTTTCCCTTTGATTTTATACAAATCTGGATTAACTCAACTCTGCCATGAATTATTTCCAGAGATTTTTTATTTACAAAAACAATAGAACAATAGCCTACTGGAGTAAGTAACATGAACTACTGACTCAAGGCGCTCTGGGACAAAATTTCTATCCTTGTAAACTGTGACAAATTATCATGTAGTTGCTGCCTAACAATGAAAATGGAATATGTTCTACTCCATTGCAACTTTAAAAAAAAGACCATTATGGTATGGGATTAAAGAAGTGTGCCATGATCAATAGTTCCAACTTTATTTCATCATAAAATCATACAAATATATTTCAGTACATATTTGAGGCTATTAAAAGTGAAACATGTAAAGCAGATACATAGTTCGTGTTACTATTTGTGATATATTGAAAAAAGGTTATTTTTAAGTTTAATGGAAACTACATTTGGTGACATATTTCTATTAAAAAAATAAATAAAAAGCACCCCATGTTTAAGGAAAAAATTTTCTTTGGTATTAATATCATGAAGCATCTGATTGGAGCAGAAATAAAGGTGTGTTTTTTGTTAATTATCCTTCTTAAATCATTTGCATAATAAGCTTTTGTTTCCACTACTATTTTTTTGTAAAATAATATTGTATGTACCATAATTTATGGAAGAAACGCCGCACCTATCCTAAACGCCACACCCATAATAACGATTTAGCGGCAAAAGTGAACATATAACATTAATTCCTTATAAATACTACTAATGCTTTAAATTAAAATATAAATTAAAATTTATAAATGCATAATTATAATAAAATCAAGAATGTAATCTGTTATTGTATATTTTGGACAAACTGCTTAGAACAACATGTTACAATCGGCTGTTGGCGCCATCTTTAGGTAAAAAATTTAAATAACTAAATTTATATTAATTTAATATAAATGATTTTTTTACATTACTACATATTTACATTTTATAATTATCTTTTTTAATTTTATTTTATTTATTTATTTTTTTGAAACATACCTATTTTATTTAACTAAGAAGATATCAGTTTATATGTCGCACCCATAACAACAATGTAGCGACAAAAATTAAATATATTAAATTAATGCTTTATAAATATCACTAAAATTTAAAACTAAAATATAAATTAAAGTATAAAATGTGTAGTCTAACAAAAGCAAGAATCTGTTATTAAACACTTTGGACAAACTGCTCCAAATAATATTTTTACAATCGGTAATTGCTGGTGGCGCCATCTCTAGGTTAAGAATTATATAACTGACTTACATTGCAACATATTTACATTTTCAACTTAAGTGGGTCGCATCCACTTAAAATTTAGGCTCACTCAAACCCTTCAAATTCACTACATTCAGAATCCGAATTAAACAATTGAAGCAATTCTTAATCCAATTCAGCATCATCATTATTTTCATCTGTCGGATCACATTTTTCTTCGATAGAAACACTCGGGATTATTTCTGCCTGAGAAAAACCTAATTTTATAGTGTCCGGAGAAATTGCTTTCCAAGCTTCTGAAACCCATCGAGCTACAACTCTATATGAAGCTCTTTTCAAATTTCCGTTTTTTGTGTACGAGTGATTTTCGCCAGCCATCCATGCCTCCCAAAGTTTTCTCATGTGGCTTTTAAAATTTCTATTTACTGTTAAATACAGCGGCTGGAGTATTTTTGCTAGCCCACCTGGGATAACAGCTCTATTTGCCTCCTTTTTCACCGAGTCCAGCAAATGTGTCCGCATTGAATCCATCACAAGAATGCCACTTGGCTGGAAAAATGACCCTTTTCTTTTGCGCCAGACTTCATTAATCCAGTCAAGCATTATTTTCTCGCACATCCAGCCCTTCTCGTTGCATTTTATGATGACGTCACTTGGGAAAATTTCCTTAGGCAACGTCTTCTGCTTGAAAATCAGCATCGGTTTTAATTTTTCGCCATTAGCAGCACAGGCAAGCACACAAGTGAAGGATGTTTTTTCGTGCCCAGATGTAGCAATTGAAACGGTTTAATCACCAGTTTTATTTACCGTTCGGTTGGGTGGGCAATTGAACGTCAATGGAACTTCGTCCATATTGACCATTTGGCATTCTTTAATTCCTTTCTGAGCTCTTAAATCCTTCATATAATTAAAAAAGGATTCTTTTTTTCTTTTCAGTCATCTGGAAGACTTTGGGCGATCGTTGGTTTACTTTGCACAGATAATTTCCTTCTTGTCATGAACCGATGATACCAATTTGGATTGCTGTTAAAATTGGAAATTCCCATGTTTGCAGATATCTTTTTGGCTTGTAGACGAATTTTAATGGTGGATACAGGGGGTCCTTTCTCGCGTTGTTCAAAGATCCACTTTTCTAAAACATCTTCTAGCTCAGGCCAGAGCATAGTTCCACTTCTTCGTGCCCTTTTCATTTTCGGCATAATTTCTAGGCTTTCTTTTTCCGACCGCCATCGGCGAATGCATCTCTCATCTACTTCAAACTCTCGTGCTGCTGCACGATTTCCTATACTTTCAGCCCATTCAATAACTTGCAGTTTGAAAGCAGCTGTGTAAATCATATCTATTTTAGGAGGCATATTGTAACGTGAAAAAATATTAGCAAATACCAAAAAGAAAACTTTCCACAATTTAATTTCTCTACACTATGCAAAGCACGTTGTAACAAAGTGAGAAAAAATGTGAAAGAGCTATCAACCACTCGGTTTGACTGGAACTAGATCGAGATCAACCCATTTTCTTTAAGGGGTGGTGGGTTAGCAATAGTGGCACCATCTTTTGCCATAATTCGCAACTATTTTGATAAAAAATTTATATTCTCTTTGAAAAATGTAAAATTTATTTTTAAAATATCGTAAACGCCGCCACCGGCACAAACGCAGGACTTAAAATTTTTAACTCGTAAACACCACGGCGTTTCTTCCATAAATTACGGTAATTAATATTTTCTTATTCCAACAAGATTCAGTTTCTTTTATGCAAACAAAAAAATATATTGAATATTTGTTAGAATTTTCAGAAATTATTTTTATAAAATGTTAATAAATGGTTTTCAATAATAACTTTTATTTGTTCATTATCAGTGTTGTAGCCAGAGCTTAACTAAGGCAAACAAAGCGTATGTGCAAATTGGTAATTTGATTTTTTTTTCTAACTATAGGTGCTAGCTAAAATAAAGTTTCAGATTTTAAAAAATAACTTGTAAATGCATAAAATAGCAATAAAAATAATATTTTCGAGCAATTCAATACTCTAATAGGTGCAATAAATTTGTGATACCTGTTTTGTTTTGTTACAGTACCAACTATATGCATGCATCTTCATAGGAGAAAGTAAAATGTTTTCATCAGTTCCAGACTATGAAAAACAAAGAGATACTCAACTCTTGCAAAATGAAACAGCTGTACTGCATAATTTTTATTTCGTTATTAATATTAGTAAAACGTTAACAAATGAATAACATTTTTGACTAAAATAAAATTGTCAAATTTAATTGCTTTATTTATAAAGAGTAAATAAATAAATAAATAAATAGCATGGAAAGTTATAGTTTCAAAGAGCATAAATTTTTTGAAACATTTTTTAACAAGTATTTATTTCTACTTTAAAAAATTTTAACATCTGTAAATTTCAAAAAAAAAAAAAAAAAAAATACTATGAATAAACATCCAAATTATGTTATGTTTATGTAAATATTTTAAATATCATAACATTATAAATAAAACAAATTACAACATCCAGATTCACTTGAGACTTAATGATGGCTTTTTTATTACATAAATGTAATCTTTTTGGTGCATAGGGCATATCTAAGCTATGCTAATTAATTACTGCAGAAATATGATTTTTTGAATTTTATGTTTCAGGAAGTGCTCAACTGATTTTGTTCAAATTCAATTATTACTAAAATTTTTTCGCATGAATCTTTCGGTGAATGAGTTTTCCAAATGGATACAAAGAATTTTTGATTTATGCAATCAATTACCGAAATATGATGAACTATATAAATAGTAAAAATAACATTTAAGGTAAAAAACTTTTGACCATTTTTCTGAATAAACTATTGGGATCATAATTATATCTTCTTGATTGTGACAACTTCTCATATCCAGTAGTTGAAAGTTCAAAACCATTATAAAAAATAATGTTTATAACCAGAAAAAATATTTTTTTTGCCTAATTTTATAACTTAAAATTATTATCAGCACTAATTAATTACGATAATTTAGTTTGGGAATTTAAATCATGAAGATTTTACTTTATTTTATAACCGTCGTTGAACAGCTGACCCAGTTTCTGGGTTTACGACTACTAATGCTTAACTATGTAGCCTTGTAATTTTTAACCCTATCCAGAAGACAAGGTAACTTCTGGATCGAGTATTGGGAGAAATTTTGCCTTCGTGGAGGATTTTTTGATGGAACTACCCGCATTTGTGTTACACAGAGAGGAAGACCACGAGAACCTCCCACGGTTAGCCTGAGAGCAAGGGGGCTCTGACCCCTGATCCCTGTACCGCTGAGGATATTTTACGTCAGCACTGTGGTTGGTGCAAGCAGTATGAGGAATTAGTATCGACCAGCCATCAAGGCTCTAAATCACGAAGATTGGATCTGAAGCGTAAAATTCATTTCAAGAACTTAAAGTTCATTCAGACAGTAACATTATTTCATTCATTTTATGTACAACACAAAGCATAATAATGAAATCTCTTTTTATAAAAAATATGTATCTAGTTATTTAGTTAAACTTAGATATAGTTGATTTAAATGAAGTTACAGCTTAAATACTGAAATAGAAATATAAGTATCAACATTGGGAAAAAAAACTTGCAGTTTTATTGTATCCAACCTGCATATATAAATGTAGAAACATAATTGTTATATTTTTTTAAAGTTAGGTTACATTCTAAAATATGTACTAGTACAAATAAGAGCTGCAGTTGGCTTATATAAGTCATAAGAAATTAAGATGATAAGAAAGAATTTGGGGTAACATTATTAATTGTTCAAAAATTATTGTGAAGGACCACATTTTAATTTTTGGAAAAATTGATACTTTATTCTAAAAATTTCAATACTATAATTTTCAAACTTTCTCATTTTTATTCATGCTTCTTACAACAGAGTTTTACATGACCTTTTTAACACAAAGACCAACCATTTATACAAAAATGTCTCAAATATACCAAGGATTTCATAAAATTGGGGCACTCAATAAACAAGATCAACTGCAGTTTAAAATTTATTTTATACTAACTTTTTAAAGATTTATAAATCAGTTGAAAATTAGTTTTACTAAAAGTCTATTCGGTGCATTAATGAAATTCAGAATATTTCTGAATATATTAGATTTCACAAAGGATAGTAGATACTAATAGCTTGAAATATAAATTTTAGTTTGAGTTAGTTTATTCTTCGTTTTGTATAAACATAAAAATTTTCAACCATAAAACAAGCAACATAAAATAAATAATTGAATAATATAGAAAAAGAAGTACATACCTGACCAAAAAGAATGCGTTCCTCAAGATTATTGCAAATTAAGTAATAATTTGGTAAAACATATTCAGTACAAAAAGAAGATCCAATGGCTTGTTGCTGACAGAAAATTAGTTAATTTAAGATACATAAATAGTGTAATAGAATATTACTTATAGAATCACCAAACAATCAAAATGGAAACATTGTTACAAGAAAGAAGCACATTAAAAAAGACTTTAAGAATATTTTATAGTTATGTATGTTTTATATTATATTAAAATTCTAGTGCTCCTATTATATTAAAATTTTAGAAATTATTGTAAATAAAATTTTGGTTTTGATTTCATAAGTCACTATAGGCCTTCATAGGGCAGAATTTCACTAGTATTGTTAAAATTCTTTAAGCTTATAGGGAATAATAATTATTATATTAAAATAAATAGAATAAAACTTTTAAGTTCATGAAGAAATTTAATTCAGGAGTAAAACTGGTATAAATTGAAAAAGTATACAGATTTAGTTTAAATATCCATAGAACTAAGAGAAAAACTAGTTTGAAATAGTCATAACTTATTTATTTTCAATATTTTTATTGCACATAAAACACATTTTATAAGAAAGGTCTCTCAAAGCACATATACAATTTATATATAAAAGACGATTCTGTTAATATATGAATTATAGCTAGAAATGAAAATAGAAAAATAATGAAAAAACTTCAATGTTTGGTACATTTATAGTTTTGAAGATATTTTAACCTATAATACAGTTTCTTAGTCAGAAATCAATAGAATTTCAGATATTCTTTAATATCCCTTTGTTGATGAAATAAATCTTTGCAGTGACCATCCTCATTTATTATTTTTCATTCATGTTTTAATTTAGAAGCTTGTAAAATAAATAGAAAATAATTTAATGAAAAACCAAAACTTGAAAATCAATTTGGACACAATTTAAAATAAATGGCATTTGATGCTTGAAAAAGCTAAACTATTGATTAAATTAAAAGAAATCAGTTAGTGAATGAACACTCTCCTTCATTCCAATCAATTAATGAAAGAGATAACAATCTCCTTCAATTAAGAATATGAGCCTGGGCTGATTATTAATTTTGCAACCATAGTATTCATTTTTTTAATTTAACACAACAATCTAATCTTTTTTTTAAACACATAATCTATTCAGTTAATTCTTTTTCAAAAACAGCTCAAACCCAAATGATTAAAAAACATTTATGATTTTTGTAATTTTGATGAATTCATGATGATTATGAAATGGAATTTATGATTTTATTTAATTAAAACAGGTAAATATAATGTAGACATCAATTAGTTTTGAAGAGAGATTTTGCCTTTGGAGACTCCAGAATAATAAGAGACCACTGAATTTCCATACTTCAATCATAAATACAATAAAGTTTACAATAAAATCAACATTGATTGAATAACATTCACTTATTAAAGAAACTTAAAACATAATAACTTCATCACAAAATATAAATTTAAAAAACATTATTATTCGGGTTATTGATGCCAAAATAATAATTTAAACCATGCAAACTATCCTCAGTTAAAATTCTGCCAACAATAAGCTTTATTTTAAAAATAATATCCTGAAAATCATTGCAAATACGCAAATTTAAAGTTGAGAATAGGGAACAAAAATTCAATCGTTTTTCAAGTTCTTCTTTACCTTCTTTAAATAACAATCCTCCATTAGAAATGTTGCAAATAGAAAAAATTCTAAACAAAATATTAAATTTAGGCCCATGAATATAATAAGGCTCCTCTAAATTATTAAGAATGGTAAGCCTAATATAATTTTTAAAAACATGTTGCTAAATTTAAAGCCTAAATAATTGTTATACTTTTTTAACTATCTACACTATAATTATGATAAAGAAGCTATCTTCTAGTCCTATTTATATTTAAGTTTATATCAGCAAGAATCTCCCCTTATTTTTTGAAGTTCCAATATCTTTTCAACTGTATGTATATCAAATTATATTCAAGATTAGAAGGAAAATTGTGGATTACTCTTTTGAATACCCCATTAAGAATATCAAAAAACAATTTACCTGTGAAATCATATGGAATGTATAAGATAGAGTATGAATTGCTGACTGGCTAAGCCTAACAAAGCATGGATGAATTAAAAAATCCATATCAATGGCATGTTCCTATGGAAATGAATAAAAATACTTAAGTAATTTATTTTTTGTATATTTATTGACAATAGGGGATATACACTATACAAAATAATGATCAAAGTGAATAATTTTTTAGTCATAAAACTCACTAAAAATTTTAACTTTTCCCTATCTCCTTGAGAAACAGATTTGAATTCCTGAATAAAGCTTAAAAAAACACAATGCGAAGTTTCCGAACATAGTTTTAAGATTTTCTGTTACACAAAATCATAATTTTTTTATTGTTGTTAAAAAATACAGTTAAAGTAGAATAACCTTAAAAGCAGCGATTTTTGCAACAACAAAAAAAAAATTCGAAACAAAAGGAAATTTTTTTATTGAGATTTACTAAGAGCACCAACTGACTATATTCTAGAAAATAGACTACCCTTTCACTATAAATGAAAAATACTTTTCTTTTTATTTATTTTTGGAAGAAATAAAAAAAATTTTTCTTACAAAGTACTTACTTGATTTTAATTACTTTAGATTTCTAGTTAACTGAATTCTGGATTTTTGGGCTCTTACCGTCAGTTACAAGTCTTTTTCTTAGAAATATAACGCAATTTTAAAAATGTCAGAAAACAAATTAAGTAATACATGGAACTTAAAAGTTCTGGCACTTAAGGTGAAATTAAAAAAAAAATTATCTCAGAATTTTATTAGAAAATAAAAATAACATAATTATTAAACAATTAATTCAATCAAATTTTTTAAATTCAAAAGGTAATATTTTAAATTTAAATTAAGGTACTAAACTAATGAATTTTCAGAAATTGACAATTTAATCTTTATTTTAAGTTTAGATAATAAAAACACTTCCAAATTACAAACTTACACAACCAATTTTTTTATGCTACGTAGAACCTGTTTATCTCGAATCTCACAGGAAAGGTGAAACATTTGAGACAAAGAGGTTTCTAGCTATACAGGTACTTTAAAGAAATTAAATTTAATTAAGAAATTCTATTAAAAGTGCTTTAATAGTTTTTAGTAAAAAAATTTAGAAATTTCTTTAAATTAATTATACTACATACATCTATTTACATAACATTTTTTAAACATACATTTAACACTGAAATTTTTTTTCGAAGAATTTTGATGTATAACTTTATTTGTTTAGATTATTCTTTTAAGGTTAGAAAGAGCGAAATACCTCCTAGCCAACATTTTCCTGGGATTCAAGAATAGTTTATAAGAATTCTACAGCTTTTTCTACCTCTTTTGCATTCACTTTTTGTTCATCAATAGGATCTTCAGCTTCTTCTTCTTCATCTGAAATTCCTTTGATTTTTATCTATGATTTCCGCATCAGTCAATGTTCCGCATTTCACCAGACAGTTGTCCACTTGTAAAAATCTTCAAAATTAATGTCAACATTAAATCCAGATTTTATTGCATTCCATTCTGGCACTGCATTTTCAGCATCAACAGTTTCTTCTTTTATACTAATGCCTTCAACCTCTTGTTCATGATCTTCACAGCTATTCTTAAAACCAGCTTTTTAAAACCATTTTGGATAGTTTTTAGAGACACATTTCTCCAGACAAAACAGTAATTCTAATACAATCCAACATCTTTATTTTTGGAAGAGAACTTTTTTCATCAATGGCATCTACAAGTTTGCATAACAACTGTTTTCTATAGTTCACTTTAAAACTCCTAATTATCTTTTGATCCATTGGGAGCAATTTTGAGTTGAAAATGAATTTCTATTCCTAGTTTTCATATCTATGTTGAAAAGCTAACCCCTGGTGGTCACTACTCATTAACCCCTCACTTACTGTCAGAATCATTGTATTCCTTTCTAGTTAAGAAATTGCAGGGATAGTGATTGAAATTCCAAGAAACACTTCCAACCTAATTATCTCTACTTCCTGTGAGTTCATGAAATTCATTTCAGTTTGCAAGTTCTACTGATAAAGAAAGTTTTGATATTTGTGCTCTGTTATTAGAAATTCAAGAAATGGAGGTTTCGAAAAAAAATTTCGACATAAACATGGAAAATTCATTGATTTTAGACAGTAAATGTAGGGAATTGTAGAAATTTTGAGACATAGAGGTTTTCGAGATAAAGAGGTTCAAGATAAACAGGTTAAACTGTATATATATGCTAGCAATGAAGGCCATTTATATCATATCATTTTACATGTAACACTTGTGCCTTTTTGTTTTTCCAATCAGGTCATTGATTTTCTAATGAAACACAATGGATCCTCTTTATTTCAAGCCATTATTTAAATAAGAACATCTATATCTATAAGGAAAACAATTTTAATAAAAGGGTGGTTTAATGTTAATTTTTTTTTTATATAAAACTGCGTTGTTATAAGCATAATTTAATTTTAACAAAGAATTTTTCATAAATTTTTGGAAAATCGTTTCATTGAGATTTACCTTATTTTTTCCAAAAGTGAATGATATAGAAGCATGAATGTCCACAGGACTTATTAATGGCAGCATGGTTAAATTTCGATATTCCAATATATCCCAAGTCACACCTGAAGACAACTAAAGAAAACAGACAAATATACATAACTATAAAATAAATCAGCTCATAGAACTGATAAAGTGAAGGATTAGGCACTTTGTTTTCAACCATTATTTTAGGTATTATTTATATTCTTATTATTTGCATTTTAATAATAAAAATTGAGAATAAATACGAAAAGAGAGTTTTAAATTCTGGGGTGTTGAATTATAAGCCAATGTAAGATTGGCTGCAGAAAACCTAATATTAGGTTATTTACAAGAAAAGGTTAATAACAATCTATAAATCTAAAAATAATAACTCACACTGCACTCTACATCATATCTCAATTGACAAAAAGAGAGGAAAAATTGTTCTGTCTAAATAAAGTCACTTCTGTTAATAGTCAGTATATATATACCATGCCTACATATGATTCAGAATACATTATGTTTCATACAATTTACAAATTCTTAAAGGTTAGTAGCATTAATATTATTCCAGGTTTCATTAATTTCAGCCTTCAATTCCACCACAAACTGGAACTATCTACCAATGTCATATAAAGGCCTACTGGGGATATCCCAAACATTTTCTTTGGAATTTCAGATTCCATTAAGGATTGACACCAGCTGTTCAATTTGGCAGAAAACCAAAGTAGAACATTATAGAGGAGCGAAGAAAAAGTGCTCTGCTTAAAAAAACTGCTATTCTGGTAAGTGACTCATTCTCAGCTCATAAAACTGATAAAGTGAAGAATAAGTGCAGGCTTTTCTAATTTTTATATTTATTCATTCTATTTTCAACCATTATTTAATATATTTTTATGTTTGCATGTATGTTTCACAATATTTACTGATTATTGCTATTGCTCAACAAAAGGAGACATACAGGGGTTTGACAAAATAATGGAAACACTTCTGTACAAATAAATTTTTTTCATATTTCTCAAGAAATAATTCGAGAATCATTTTATAACTTCAGAAGTGTTTATATCATGGGATTTTTCATACTTCTCAATGAAGCTTAAAGCTTTTAGAGGTTTGAGTGCCAACAATAAATTGCAAACAGAAAATAGTGTTTTTGAACAAACTATGACAATAATGTAGGAATAAATTTGTAACTTGTAACATTTATTTTGGTTATATGAGATAATTGAAAAAATTTTCATAAAGGTAGATTAGATATTTATGGGAAATATGGACGTTTTTACAAAAAAAAAATTTTTTTTGTCCAATGTTTTTTTCACTGTAACATTAAATATATTCAATAAAATTTTTAGAGCAATTTAAAATTAATCAAAAAATTATTACTTTAAAATTTTAGAAAAATTTGTTTAAAGCTGCACAAGATATGAGCAATTAAAGTAGTTCTTTCAGACTACACATGCACAGGAAAAATGTGAAATTTTTTTTCGCATAATTCTGTAGAGAATCGTAAATAATAAAAAAAGTTTGATGTGAATATCCTAAAAAAATAAGAAGTTTCAAGCAATTTTCTCAGTAGTTTTAATACTTTTTAAAAGAAAGCTCAAAATGATAAAGGGCTTTCCACAAATTTCATTTGTACTATAGTACTATTAAACACGATTTATTAAAAATGACACTGGCATTGTTGGGGACCATCCCCCATTAAAGCATATTTTCTTTTGCCTGTTTTCATTTCTTATACAATCATATTTCGGTGCATAAACGTTTATTGTAAGGAATTATCATTTGTTATTTAATTTTGCCTTATGATACAAAATAATACTTGCAGAAAACTCCTTATCATTTTGAGTTTCTTTTAAAAAGTACAAAAATTCTTTGAAAATCGCTTGAAACTTTTCAAATAAGAATAATTAAAGCAATAATTTTGCAATTTTAAATTGCTCCAAATTTTCTTTTTGATGTTATTGAATATTTTTGAAGTTATAGCAACAACAACAAAACAAAAAATGTAAGATAAAAAAAAAACTAGTTTTTTTAAAAATGCCCATATCTCCTTAAATACCACAGATAGATTTACAAAATTTTGCGCAATTATCAATAATTATACATAATAACCAAAATAACAAATATAAAATAAGTTAATAATTTACTCCTACATTTTTTTGGCCTAGGGTGTTCAAAAACACTATTTTCCATTTGTAGTTTATTGTCGGTCCCTCAAACCTCTAAACTTCACTGAGAAGTATGAGAAATCAAATGATATAAACACTTTTGATGTTATAAAATGATTCTTTAATTATTTCTTGAAAAATACCGTATATTCCAGCGTATAACGCGCACTTTTAATACAAAAAACAACATTGGAATTTACGAGTGCGCGGTATACGCCGAATATAAAAAATTATAAATTAAAAAAATTTAAATATTGAAAAATACTTTTATTTTAAAGAAATAACATACCTTTACCTATATACTTTATTGATTTTCGTTATTACATAAATAGTTCATTATATTCGTATTACATAAATAGTTCATTATATTCGTCTTCCGTTATTTCTTCAGGCATGTCATCACAATCTTCATCATCTGTGTTACCCTCATCCATAAATAAACAGTCATCTTCTGATCCGTCCAGATTATTTGAAATGCTGCATTTTTTGAATGATTTTCTAACCATCTCAGGCATAATTTCATCCCATACTTTTAATATCCATTCGCGAACTGTTTCCAAACTTGCATGGTGCATATGTCCTCCTTTCGTGAAGGTTTTCTCGCCCTCCAACATCCAAGTGTTCCACTGTTTTCCTTAATTGGCTTTAAATGGTTTGTTTAAGCAGCCAATGGCTGAACTAATGGTGTCAATCCGCCCGGAACAACTGCCATATCGGTGTTACATTCTTTCAGCAATTTTTTTGTATTATCTGTAAGGTGGGACCTAAACATGTCCCACACTAAAAGGCTTTCTGGTTTTCTATTGATACTAGACGAGATATTGCACATGTACAATCCAAATTTTCGTGCGCGTTATACGAAGAGTATATCTTAAAATTTAAAAAAAGTTATTAGAAATTACGGATGCGCGTTATACGCCGGCGCGCGTTATGCGCCGGAATATACGGTATAAAGAAGGTATTAGAATAAGAAGAGTTTCCATTATTTTATCCACCCCTGCTGACAATGTATTTCTGGAGATTTTCAATGTTAGTGGATAGGATTATAAGCCTCCCCCTACCCACTTCAGCTTTAGAAAATTTTCTAAAAATTCTCAGCTTATATTAAGAAATATACCAAACTTACTTTTCCATACTTTGCAACATTTACCTCCTTATCAAAATAACATTCATTTTGTAATTTGAATGAAGGCATTTTACAAAAAGAATATCTGACTTCGACCACCAATAACTTATGTAAATGGCAATAAATTAGTTTCTACCATTTATCGTTAATTATTGGTAGAATTTATTGTTAGACTTTATGAGGTCTGAAGGGATAGCTGCGTTAAGTTCAACACCGTAGCTGAAACTGTTTTACAACATTAATAAACCACCAGTATAACGTCATAAGGAGATTACCCCGTGTCATGCCCTTAAAATACAAAGCTGCCTAGGCCATTAAAATTAGATTTCTTTTCTCATCTCAGTATAACATACCTCTAGTGATATTTGGCCCAATCAATTAAATTTTTACTTTGGCAAGGTTTTACTATAATTATTAGGTCATACATTTAATGGCAAATTACTTTAAGGTTCTAAAATGCATAAAATATAGAGAGAAAATAACTCAACAAACAGAACAAAAATTATTTCAAACATACTTCAGTTTTTATTTTTGAATTCCAGTTTGAGTAAGAAATATTTGGATTAACAAAAGAAACGGCTGAAAATTCTTGATTAGAAGGACACTCATCATCAAATTCAAATGGATGTAGACTAGGAGAACACCCTAAAGAAAAATCAAATTGAAATAATCTAGGGAAAAAGCATCCTCAGAAAAAAATGCATTTAAAATAATCTTGCTTTCTTATAATAGAAGATTTTCTATAATAATTCCTAAAAATCGAGAAATAAGAAAGAAACTACATGTTTTATTTTTTTATCACTTCACTTTTTAATTGACTCAAATAAATTTTCAAATTCAAATATTGATTTACATATAGATTATATTGATTTACAAATTAAAATCACTAGAGCTGCACAATGGGCTATTGGCGACGGTCTGGGAAACATCCCTGAGGATGATCCGAAAAAATGACATCGCAATTTTGATCCTCTGCAGAGGGGATGACACCTCCGCTTTGGTAGCCCGACAACCTGCACGGGAAGTCGAGCACTTTACTGTAGAACAGTTTAACGAGGGCCGATACCGCGCACCCTCGGTCCCTACGCAGGCTGATCCAAGTGATCACCCACCCGCACACTGACCGTAGCCAGTGATGCTTGACTTCGGTGATCTGCTGGGAACCGTGTCTTAACGATCAGTCCACTGCGGGACATTTGGTTAAGTCTTATTTTAAGATACCTAAAATGCATGAAAATACAGTGAACTCTCACTTATGCACCGGTGTAAGGGGCGAATTGAAAAAGGCGCATAAGTGAAAGAGACGCATAAGTGAAAAACTTCAAAATTCTAAAACGCATCGTAAATTGCAGTGACAATATGAATAAATATGTTTCTAAAGATTAAGTGTTAATATTTATACTGTTAAAGATTAAGTTTTAACATTTATATTGTTATAATGTTAATATTTATACTGTATACTATAATTATACAAAGAAAAAATTTAACATACCTAAAGACAATTAATTTTTTTACAAAATAATCCTTAATACATGTTTGTATTTGTTTTTGCCGACGTATTTCAAAAACAGTTTTTTCCAGTTCATTTAAATGGGATAAGGGAGTTTCAGAAGAAGAATTAAATTGTAAATAGTCACAAATAGTGTCTAATGCTTCTAATAATGCTGTGTGATTTGGAGGAGCTTTATCATCCTCGTCAGTATCATCCTCCATTTCATTCGCGATGTCATCAATGTCTCTTAATTCCGTTGTTAATAGATTATCATCAAAGGCAATAAATTCATTAAAAGAAACAAGTTCGTTTGATACAGCTTTCCACTCGGTATCACTAAAATCGATATCCCAATCTTCTTCAATTTCGCTAACTTGATCTATAAATTCATTTTCATCTGAAGATATAAATCCAGTTTTTTTGAAGCAATTCCTTATGCAGGATTGTCCAATGCTTCTCCATGCAGCGCATACCATATTCATGGCATCCAGAACTTAAACCTTTACGTCGGCAGCTGCTGATTTACTTGTTTCCAGTTCTGCTAGATATCGACGAATCAGTGTTTTTCTATAATGCACTTTCAAGGAATGGATAATACCTAAATCCAAAGGTTGTAACTTGCACGTGCAGTTTGCAGGAACAAACACTACTTTGATGTGTTGAAAAGTTGGTAAGTCTCGTGGATGGGCTGGACATTGATCCATAAAAAGGAGGACTTTTCTGTTTTCTTTTTCCATTTTTTTCCAAATGCATGAAGAAAAGGTAAAAAAAAAATTGAGGTCATCCATGCTGCTTTATTGCTTGAGTACTCACAGGGAAATCGCCTTATTTTTTTAAAACAGCGAGGCTTTCTTGATTTGCCAATAATAAAAGGGGAATGCTTTTCTGATCCATCTGCATTACAACATAATAAAATGGTTAATCGTTCCTTACTGTTTCTTTCACCGTGGCAGGTTCCCCCTTAAATGCCAATGCTGTCTTAGGCATCATCCTGAAAAACAAACCAGTTTCATCACAATTAAAAATGTCCTTTGGTTTGCAACCATTAATTAAAGATTTTAATTCATCTTTCCATTGCTCTACAGTCTTTTCGTCCACGCTAGCACTTTCACCAGATATGGTACGAGTTTCTAGGCCATGTCGGATCTTAAATTTCTCCACCCATCCATGTGAAGCTGAAAAATTTCCAATTTTCAAAGTTTCTGCGAGATGAACTGCTTTTTGCCTCAGTAATTCTATATTAACCGGAATGTTGGAAGCACGAGCCTCTTTAAACCATTCTAATAAAACACTTTCCAGTTCTTGAAACTTTCCACCTTGAATATGACTTCTCTTCGAGGATTTAATTCCACATTCCCGTTGAGCAGCAACAATTGCATCCTTTTTTCTTAAAATCTCTTTTGAAGTTGATTCAGGAATTTTAAAATGATCAGCTAAAGCTTTTTTAGTCGTTAATGGATTTTCATCAAATCTCTTTATGATATCCACCTTAAAAGATAAGCTCAATTTCGTTCTCTTTGCCATTTCGTTAAGAGGCAAATCTTAAATGCTACACAAGTTCAAGTTAGACATAAATGACCAGTTCTTCACAAAACATTTGAGTTTTATGGGAGAGGGTGAAACGTCACATGATAAATTTCTAAGGAAAGTACTTGGCGTCATAATATGCTGCACAATAAGTTGTTTGATTATTAGTGTCACTGAACATACCATCTCCTTTTATTTACTTGAGATGTCCATCTGACTGAAAGTAAGTGATAGCGGTCTCTTTCATCTTTCGTATTCCAGGTGTCTTTTTTTTTCTAGAAAGCAGCATGGGAGTAAAACTAACCTCTGGGCCAGAGGAATGGTCATTTTCTTAAAGATGAATGGGCTTTCATTGTTGTTGGTGTAACAGATAAGACACCCTATTCAAATATGTGGAAAGAATGTCTTTCTAAATCAGCAAAAATGTGAAGTTCACAGGAGAAAGAAAAGTGAGCTATTCGATAGGATTTAACAACATAATTTTTTTATCTGTAACAGGAATTGCTTATTTGCTTCAATTTTTAATTTGAAACCTTTTTTTTTTAAAAAAAAGGGGGGGAAGGAAAAAGTGTTTAAAGGAAGAAAAAAATAAAAATGTTAGCCTAAAATTTCGGCGCATAATTGAAAAATTTATTTTTAGAGCGACGCATAAACGAAGGATGATTATCATTATTTTCCAACCTAATGTACTGGGACTTAGAAATATCGTCATATAAATGAAAAAGGCGCATAAAAGAGGTGGTGCATAAGTGAGAGGTCACTGTATGATATATCATAATAGAGATTGTTATTTAAAATCATCTCAAAACAGTAATATTAACTAATAATAAAATAATGGTTAATTAAAACATGCACTAATTTAGCTTCACAAATTTTCTTTTATAAATTATTTTAAATACATTTCAAAGCAGTTAAATTAATATAAAAATATGTATAATTCTGTTTATTAAGCAAACAAAATTACTTCCGAAAATAAACTTTTGTTGAACAATCAACAATCAGAACCTTATTACGGATTACTAATAAAATGATTCAGGGGCGTACGCAATGGGGAGGGGGTTAGAGGTTTAAACTCCCCCCTTGAGCTGAGACAAAATGGCAAAAATAAAAGTTTTAGTAGAAATTATGTGGGCTATTATTTTTTTAAGACTATATATTTTTATTTGCCTTATGCCTACTTTTTTTTCTCACGGTATTTCTCAGAATACTGAAAAAACATTTACTAAATAAGGTTGTACTTTTGAAACCAAAATCACGCGATACTGTTACGGGCGAGTCCCCATCGCTGGTTCCTTTCTGCCCTGCCAGTCGCGATAGTTTTCGAGACTGGCTGGCATTGTGTACTTTTCACTCCAAATGATGCCGGTTCTGGCAAGCAACCTTTAGGACAACTGAGCAATGTAAAATGAGACAACTGGAAAAAAGCAGTAGAGCGATTTTCTGAACATGAGAAATGTCTTTATCACAAAAAATAAATCGAAACTGCTGGGACATTAAACGATATTTTACTTGGAAAGATGAAACCTGTGGATGAACAAGTTGACAGTGAAGCAAGCAGAAGAAAATTAGAAAATATGAAAAACATTACTCCAATCATTGAAACCATTCTATTTTGTGGAAATCACGGTCTCGCTCTAAGAGGACATAAGGATTCGGGAATAATTGCTAAACAACCAGGTGAAGAGAATGACGGAAATTTTCGGACATTGCTTCGTTTCCGAAGTAAGACTGATTTGACTCATGAGAACATTTTAGAGTCAAGCAGAAAAAATGCTCAGTATACCAGCCCTCGATTTCAGAACGAAGTTATTGAGGTTTGTAATATTTTAATCCGGCAAAAACTAGTCAGCAAGATTAATGATGCCACTTGCTTCTCCATACTTGCAGATGAAACAACTGATATTGCAGATATAGAGCAATTATCGTTATACGTTCAATATGTCGATAAAGAAAATGTTAACATCACCGAACAGTTTTTGCAATTCATTCCAGTGCATGACTTAACCGGAAAAGCAATCGCAACAACAATATTAGATCAATTACAGTCTAAGAAAGTTGATATAAAAAAGTTACGTGGACAGTTTTATGATGGTGCTGCATCAATGAGTGGAAAAATTAATCGTGTACAAGCCCACGTAAGAAGTATTGTCCCATCAGCACTCTATGTACATTGCTCTGCTCATAGCCTCAATTTGGCCGTATCAAATGCGTGTGGAATAACTGGCATTAGAAATTGCTTAGGGACAATTAAAAACATTATACAACTTTTTAAATACCCCAAAAAGACAGCATGTCCTATCTTCAGCAATAGAGGAGATGGAAACCAGCTCTAAGTGGGAGAAAATTAAACAGCTATGTGCAATCTGTTGGATGGAAAGATACGACTCAGTAACTGCTGTGGTGGAACTTTTCGAGAATATCGTTTAAACTCTTAAGAAAATATCAGAATGGAGGGATAAGGAATCAGCTACTCAAGCTAGTTCTTTACTGTGCACAGTATCTAATTGCCAGTTCGTAATATCTCTTTTGTGCTTTTACAAAGTTTTTACCATAACAATCCATCTTTGTAGATACCTACAAAAAACAAGCATAGATTTGATAGAGGCATTGAGTCTTGCAGAAGATGGTATTAAAGAACTAAAATTAATGTGTGAAAATGCCACTGAAGCATTCTCTGATGTCAGCTCTTCTTCTCTTAAGATAACAAGCATTGGATCTTCCATATAAATCCCTAGAATAACGGGATGTCGGAAAATTCGAACTAATCTTCCCTCATCGACACCTGAAACATATTTCAGAGTTAGTGTATTTATTCCATTTATAGAAAATTTTATAACACAATTAGACTTAAGATTTGTATCGCATCGTGATATTTTGAAAGGATTTCAGTGCCTTCTTCCTGCCGATTTTTTCATTTGCCAACCTTCAAACATAAAGGCTTTTGAAGCACTAGTGGAATTTTACACTCAAGATTTGGATACCTATAAAGAAAGCCTTAAGTCTGAACTAAAACTCTTGTATAAAAGATTAAAAAGAATTAGTGAAGATGAAGGTAGTGTTCCAAAAACTGCGGCAGATGCTCTTGGAATGTGCAATAAAGATATAACACCAAAATTTTTTAAACTCTTAGAAATATTGGTCGTTTCACCTATTTCAACGAGAGCAAATGAAAGATCCTTTTCGACTTTACGCCGTATAAAGACTTATTTGCGCAATTCAACAGGTAATAATAGAATGAATGGATTGGCACTCTTAAACATTCATAGAAAATTTACCACAGCTGTAGAAGACATTTTAAACGAACTTGCAAAAAAACCAGTCGTTTGGATATTACTGTATAAATCAATAAATTTTTAGCGTGTTTGTATACTGGTTTAATTCCCTGTTATTTGTTGGTGAGTTATTTTTTCTTATTCTTTGGTCAAATTCATTGGTTTTCTATAGAATATTCACATTTATACGGTTATTATTTAGGTAGCTCTTACATTATGAGTATTTTTTTCTGGCTTGATCAATTCCTACTTTTTAATAAAAGTAAAATATTTTACCTCCTATTTTTTAAAAAAAAATTATGCTCGTAAACTTAAGAGATCAAATCAAACTTTAACTAAACAATGTTGTCTAAATAAAAAGTCAAAATTGTCTAGCTGTCTAAATTAGGGAAATAATAGTGTTTTATTACATACTCGAATTTTTTTTAGTAGTTTCATAAAATTCTGAACCCCCCCCCCCTGAAAAAATTCTGCGTACGCCACTGAAATGATTAAAGATCTTCTGATATGAAAATAAACTTGCGTTAAAAGTGCTCTTTTAATGAAATAAAAAATATGAATCATTTTAAGGAATTTTCTTTTATTAAACATGAAAGTGTCATATTATACTGATATTCATGTATGTAGTAGTAAGAAATCAGAATGTGAATACCTGTTTTCTCAAAATGATTATAGCAAATCATTTTAAGGAGTTCAAATGATGCTCGCATACGAAAAAGAGGTACTAAATTTGCATCAAAGCAAGAATCAACTGACATGCATGCTGCTAATGCAAGAGGAGAAAGGAGAGGTTTTCTTTTGTCATAAATATTATCTTCATTACTGAAATATAAAATTTTTAAGAGTTCAAATAAAAACTAGTAGTAGTGAATAATTTAAATAAACAAAAATTAATTTATGAAAAAGGGTTACCAAATTAATCTAAAAATTTGCAAGGGACACTAAGAAAAGGGAATAAAAAATATACTATTTTGATGCAGTAAAAACTAAGGATAGGATAATTAAATTTTTGCAAATGGCTATTATTTACTATATCATTTTTTGGGTATTGGCACTTACAAACTGATATAATCAAGTATCAGAAAACCTGATACTTTAAGTATTAGAAACATATAAATCTTAATTAAGAACACAAATATAAGTTGAGGTTAAACATTATTAAAGAAAATTTCGATTGCTTTTATTAGCGCTAAAAGTCTGCATTAAGTTTATAAGCTTATCTAGAACTTTATTTAACTAAAACTGCAGACTCAGAAATGATTTTGGTTATAAAATGAAACAAAAGTTGATTTAAATTGAATACAAAATTAAAATTATTTTCCTTAAAAAAAAACTTATTTAACGTGTAATATACGTAGAAATTTGAAATCGTGTATTAATTGAAATCAATCAGCTGTTATCTTTACTTATTATTACGATTTATGATTATTATGAAAGTAATAGCAAAAGAAAGTATACAATTAGTTTAAGTACCATTCCTGTTAGAAATATTTTACTTTATCGTAGATAATACCTAAATAATGAGTTAAAAATTAAATCCTTAATTTTTTTCAAAAAAACATTTTATTTGAACTGTACAGAGTACTTTTTATTAAAATTTTATGCAATCATGCTTTGAATGGAACATTTTATTGAAGCGAATACACTAACTAATCAAAATTATTTCACAGATATAATATATACTTTTTCTAAACATTAAATTCCATTTGATGTTTAAAACTATCGAATAAAATAACATGAAAACCTATTAAAATAAAATACAGTAGAGAACCGATTATCCGGAACGATCGGGACTATCGCTATTCCGGATAACTGATTTTTCCGGTTTTCTGAATAGCTACAAAAAGCCCTTTTTTTAGTGTTAAACCCAACTAATAAAATAAAAAAAAATATTTGGAAATAATCTTGAAAATAAGAAAAAACGATGAAGTAATACACTAATGATTATTTCTGAAATGATGGTAAGGTAAAAATCTTTCAAAAAAGAAAGAAAAATCCTAAAATCTTATGATGAAAAAAATTTTTTTTTTTAAAAATTGCGGGAAAATTTATCGAATTTCGTTCCGGTTTTTTGGTTTTCCGGTTTTCTGATTTCCGGATAACGGGTTCTGTACTGTATATCAAAATAAAAATTTTAAAATTTATGCATAAAAAAACAAAGTAAATTAAAACAATAAGAGACATAATTTGAATATAAAACGGAATCATAATTAAGAGAGACACTTAGTAAGATTGCCTAAGATGAGACAAAAAGTTTGTATCAGCTTCAGATATCAAAGGCCTAATACTGATACAAAAGGAACTGCTTCACACATTATAACGTTTAGGGAGTATGAGAGAAACCAGTTCCAAAACCAGGCTGATTCAATATTAATCCAAAATGAATAAATCTAATTGAGATACTTCCAATTTACAATTTTTTATTCAAGAGTGTCTAATTGCTTTTTAATTGAAACACAATTCTATTTAAAGTTTTATTAGACACTTAAAAAGGCTGCACAAAAAATGTACATTCTATAAATCGGGATGTGACTTTGCAAAATTTAAAAACATTATTAATTTTAAAAAAATGCATGTATAAATAAGATAAATCAGAATGTATTTAGGTAAAACAGAGTCACATGCCTTTTACTCAAATTGAGTAAACCAAGAAACATGAATACCAATTAGTTTAGAAGCCAAAGGATACTTAATTCTATTACACAGAAAAGAATATGATTGAAAAATTTTCAAAATTGAAAAACTTGTCTTAAAATGTCAACTGAATATGTGCAGTAAATTTATTCTTCAAAGCATATTATTGTTATTTTAATAGATATAATATTTTTTAGATAATTACCCTAGATCTTGGTGCATAAGTAGACTTTTTAAACATCCAAAATTTTATGAAAACTAAGGGGTTGACTTATGCACCGGAAATAAAGCCTGATATTCTTTAATTGTAATATAATTATGTGTTTTCTTCTTGATGAAGTTTAAAGCTTTTAGAGGTTTGAGGGACCAACAATAAATTACAAACGGAAATTAGTATTTTGAATATTCTATGCAAAAAATGTACCAATAAATTTGTAACTTGTAGCAATTATGTTACAGAGTCTATGCAATAATTGCAAAAAATTTCGTAAGCCTAGATTGAATATTTACAAAAATATGGGCATTTATATAAAAAAAAAAAAAAATTTCGGATGCTTTTTGCTATAACTTACAAAATATTTGATAAAATGCAGAGTTATTTAAAATTAGTTAAAAAATTTTTGCTCTCAAATGTGAGAAAAATTCTTTTAAAAATGCGCAAGATATGAGTAATTAAAGTAATTCTTTTATACTGCACACTCACTGGTAAATGCAAAATTTTTTTTCTTAATTTTTTTAGAGATTTGTATTTGGCAACTAATAAAAAAAAGTCCGATTTGAATACTTTAAAAATTCAAAAAGTTTCAAGCGATTTTCTAAGTAGTTTTTGTCCTTTTTAAAAGAAACTTAAAACGATAAGGAATTTTCTACAAATATTATTTAGTATCATACAACAAATTTAAATAATAAATGATAAGGCTGTACATTAAACCTTCATACACTAAAATAAGATTGTATAAGGAAAGAAAATATGCAAAAGAAAAGATAATTTAATGGGCATGATCCCCAACAATGCCAGTGTTATTTCTAATAAATTTTATTCAATAGTACAAAAAAAATTGTGAAAAATCTTTTATCATTTTAAGTTTCTTTTAAAAAATACAAAAACTAATAAGAAAATTACTTAAAACTTTTTAAATGTTTTAGATATTCAAATTGGATTTTTTCCATTAGGTGTAAAATACAATTCTCAACAAAACTTAAATTTTTTTAAAAATTTTTTCATTGCTTGAGCAGTATAAAAAAAACCTACTTCAATTACTAATATCTTGCACATTTTAAACTAATTTTTCCCAAATTTTAAAGCAATAATTTAGTAACTAATTTTAATAATTCTAAAAGCTTTGTTTAATTTTATTGAACGTGTTTAAAGTTATAGCAAAATTATAAAACGAAAAAAATATATATATATTTTTTTATAAAAATGTAAAATATTTAATATTTAAACTAGCAATATTTAAACTAGAATTTTAAACTAGAACAAACAAATATTTAAACTAGGTTTACAAAATTTGTGCAATTATTGCATATAATAACCAAAATGATTGCTACAAGTTACAAATTTATTGCTACATTTTTTGGCACAGGGTGTTCAAAAACACTATTTTCCTTTTATAATTTAGTGTTGGTTCCTTAAAACTCTAAACTTCATTCATAAGTATGTTCTAAACACTTATAAAATGATTCTTTTAGTATCGCTTGAGAAATATGAAAACATGTCTTAGTATAGAGGTGTTTCCATTTTTTATCCACCTCCAGTACCATAAAATAACAAATTTAAAGATTTTAGAACTTCATTTGTGTTTGTTTCAATAAAATTAATAGAGTCATTATGTGAATTCCACGCTTCAATGGATTCTACATCATCCTCATTTGCTGAGTCCCACAGAAACTCTTTTTCCTATCCAAAGAATTCGAAATTCCACACTTTTTAAAATATTTCACAATAACATTTAAAAGAACCTTTTGCCACATATCTAGTATCATTTGACTGGTTGCCTCACAGAATGGTCAATATTTGACTAGGTGCCTCATAGCATTTTTATTTGATGGCAAATGCATCATGTTCAGCGAGAACAATGTGAAATATTTTTAACTTGAGAAAATTTTGTAGACTTAATATTTTTTTATGTTTTTGAATTTTAGAAATTTTTATATTTTGTTTATTTACTTGTTCACTTACACAACTGACATACCAGAAATTTGCAATGTCGTAAACAAAAACTTACGTCGTCATCGACAAAAACGTCAACATGTTGACTTATACATTAAGATAAACAGTATTAATAAATGGCAAGGCATACACTTTTTTAAAATATGACAATGCAAGATTTGTATAAAAATAATTTCATTCACTCATTTCATAACTTAAACACTAAAAGCTATAACGTATTTACTTACACATATCTACCACCACAATCTAAAAGTACTCTCCATTTATCTGACATTGCAATAGAGTCCTTATCAAGATCTAACAGATTTAAGGAAATGTGCTTTGTTTCTGACAAAACAAAGTCACATAGATTGATGTATTCTTTGTCTGCAGAGTTCCAATATTGAAGATAACAGGACAAACACTAAAAATACATAAATATTGAAACAGTAAAAAATGAAGTATTTAAAACAATATTATTATATTGGGTTAGCAACTAAGTTCCTGTTTTGCTTTTTTTTCCTTTTTTTTATTTTAATATTCTGCATATCATTAAATGTTTTTGGCATAATGTTTTAAATCACTTGAAAAAGGATTTATTTTATAATTTATATTCAGATCACTAAAATGGAAAGCCAAGCTTAAAAAAAAGATAACTTCTGATGCCCCTTCTTCTTGCTTTCAGTCAAGGTAATCAGGCTGCAAACGCTACTTGTAACAGCTGTGTTGTGTATGAAGAGGGTACCATAGCTGAAAGAACCCTTTGTAATAAATGTTGTAGTGCCAATTTTGCTTCCAAGAATGCAATTCACTGAAAATGGCAGGGAGGAGGATAAAATAAAATTTAAATATTGTTTTCATGTTTTGTTACCTATCCAAAATTGGAGGCTAATTTGAAAAGAGGATTAAAATCAATAACTATAATATAAATACAGAAATTTTCACAAAACCAAGTATACTAATTGTTCTGTAATGTCCACCCTTAACATGTACTTTCAGAATTTATGAACTAAAAGAAATATACACATTTAGATTCTCAAATTAATATATTAACTAAGACACTATATCAATACAATCAAAAGCCTATAAATCACTACTGATGAGGCAGGACTGAAACATCAAACAGGGTGCATAGCCAAATTTTTCAACAAAAAATAAGCATCTTTTAAGCATATTTCAAGCACTCAAAAAATATTTTTAAGCACTTTAAAAAAATATCATAATTAGGCAGGGTTTGCAAGTTTTTGATAATTGATGGTTTCATACATCAAAAAAAAAAAAACCTTTTGGCATAGCTTTTGACAGTTATCAAAAACCCAAAATATTGTTGTAAGGATAATTATTAGCTATTATAAATATAAAATATTTTAAAATTTACAAACATGTAAAATTACAAGTATTTCATCATTTATGCTCCTGAATTATTTTAACAAAAAACTCTTTTTGTTTTGAAAATTACTGTCAAAAAACCCAAATTTTGGTCTAGAAAATATTAAATAATTATAAATAAAAATGTGCCAAATTTCAAATCCCTTAACTTGTTTAAAAAGACGAAAACAATAATAAAAACACTTAACTATCATCTTATTCTTTGTACGTAAAATCAGTCTTCCTTCACAATATCAAAAACCCAAAATTTTGGCATAACGATAGTTATTAGCTATCATAAATATGAGACATTTTTAAATAATATACTTGTGAAATTACAAGTGTTTCATCAGTTATGTTCTTGAATTATTTTTCTTTCACATATTGTATCTAAAATTATTTCATAAACAGCTCTACACAATTAAGAATACTTTCTAAGATATAAAAAAATTAAAACACCTGTGATTCTTCATTAAAATCTTCTACATCAGTCTGAAATGGAACTGGAGAGACATCCACTTTTGTTAAAAATCTTGGTTCTGGGTAACACCAAGTCATAGAAGCTGGATGATCTGCAGAGGCATGACAAAAAACTATTTCATAACTTTTTGGCTGGCTTTCTTTAGAACCTAAATATTTTGACAAGGTGAAGCTAATTAATTAATTTTGTTACAAATAAACATGACTGAATAAAAGTATAAGCAAAAAAGTTTACAAAAAACTGTCTTTTCACTGTCATAATAGTCATTATTTCTGGGATTCTTTTATTCAATAAATTCTTTAACAATGCTCTTAAAAATAACAGAAAACATTTAAAAACACTCAGTAAATGAAAAAAGAATTTCTATCATAGGATACATCGTTTTGCAGAATTTGCCCCAATTTTATAAAATATATGAAGAAAAAAGAATTCTTGGTCCCTGTCTTAATCTCCCATAGAAGTTTTAGTATTTTTTTCCATTTATTAATATTTCTCAATAGATCCTTTGAAGGGAAAAGAAAAGAATGGTAATCTTGTTTCTGGAAATTGTAAGGGACTAAATAATATAACATATTTCAAATTTGAATAAATTATAACAATGAGGAACTTTTTAAGATTTTATATGAACAACGTAAGGAGAAAAAACCTGGTTAGAGGAGGTATTGACCTTGAAAATACAAACAGAAAACTTATTACAAAACTTAACATTCAAACCAAAAAAAAGTCTTGAAATCCAAAGAAAAACAATGGTTTCTTTGAAATTTTAAACTTTGGTATAAAAGTACAGAGATAAAAATAATATGTTTGTGGATTATTAAATTATGCATCCCCTCCAAATTACAGTAGAATTTCCTAGTTTCAGAAAATATTTTTCTTAGTGGAAGCAAAGGTAATGTATTAATATTTTCATAAATTAAAAGAATTTTGTCCACCACTACGCATAAATAATTTAAACAAATACAGTTAAATCTTGATACCTCAAATTTTAATTACACAAATTTTCAATTATCATGAAAAGTCTGATTTCCCAATGCATTTGCTATGCAGATAATTGGAAAAACTTTTTTTTAGCTGCGTATATATCTTGTTGAGCTTAGATTTTGATAAAAAAAAAAAACATTTTGTTCCTAAATTCTAATTTAAAATGCTTTCTGGAACATTTCTGATTGATTTTATTGAAATTCAATTAAGAAAGAGGCAGCTATTTTTGAAAAGGTGTTGCCTGAACCATTCATTCCTAAAAAAGTAGACACCTAAGATATGAGTACATTGATAAAAATATTTATCAATAAGAATGAACAAACTTGCTAAGTTAACGAATGCAAAAGAAACTGATACTGATATGGAAGTAGCTACTGCAGATAGTATAAAGTTGCAGTGTGTGGTGATTGAGAAGGAACAGAAATATTAAAATAAATTGCAGCATTGAGAGTGACATCCGAATAGGAAGTTGATGAAAAAAAATTTCAGAAAAAGGCAAAATAAAATAAAGAACTAAGATATTGTCATTGCTCTAATTCAGTGTTTCCCAAATTTATGACTTTTGTACATCATTTCTAAACTTTTTGTAATGCTGTTTACCACTAATAAAAAAAATGAACCTACTTTTACTTTAAAAAAAGGCAAGAAAGTTAAAAATTACAACTGGCTGTTGACACCACTAATTATTAACTGTTAAATCTGCAAAAAATAGCCAATAGAAAAATACGAAATCGTAAATTTTCATGGCTAGCTTTGTTTTTAAATAAAATTAGTTGAAATTTTTGTTTGTTGCAAGATATTTTTCAAAAGAACGCTTACCCCCGCTAAACTGTTCCTGTACCCCTGGGGGTACGCGTACCTCACTTTGGGAAACAAATCAAATGCAAGTTATATAACTTTTTAATCAAATCTAATCAAATGCATGTTGTATAACTTTTTAATCAAGTCTAATCAAATGCATGTTATATAACTTTTTAAAAAAGTCAGAAGAGTTATAGTTGGAACTAAATTGAAAAAAAAAATTCAATATGTGACAAAAAGTATTTGATGTTTGAGGGTAATAAATTATCATCAAAAATTTTAATTTTTTTTACGAGTCAAATTTATACCAGCTATTAGTCAATGAATTTTATAAGTTTGTGCAAAAAAATAGATTGAATAGGAGAATTAGTTCTGAATACAAGGGTGAAAATCCAATATTTAGATGAACGTAGTAAAGCAATGTATGTAGAACCCAAAAAAGGAAAATTTTGTATAAAACTTTGAATAACATAATTATAGTTGGAAGAAAATTAATAATTGGCTTTTCATTTAATTATGAGCTACCATTTTTGTTCTATAATATGTTGCTTTAAAAGTAACTCACTTATTTGTTTATTATAGAGCTTATTACTCATATAGATATATATATATTATCTTTTAATGAAAATGAAAAAAAATTTTCATAAATATTTCTTAAAGTACAAATAACACTATCCCAGTTTTTAAGAAAAATATTTGCCAAGCTTCATGGTAATTTTTTATGCATTTCTTAGCTTCCTTAAAAAATTTCTACACTGCTTAAAATAAATTTTGTGGAAAAGCAGACTCAAAGCTCAGTTCAAAATTTAATTGCAACTGGATGATCGCAGCATAACCATAAAAGTTAATTGGCAACATTTGCAATGTAAGACTTCAACAATTTTTCTTCTTCTAGAAGTCTGCTGAATGTATCCTATAAAAACTTCATAGTTTAAATGAATAATGATGGCCATAATTTGTATTTTTTACAAAATGATACTCTAATATATTAAATTCTACATTTTATACGATAAATGTTATTGCTACTTCACAGTATGTTTTTGCTATTATGACAGCAAATTACTACATCTAAACTTCTAAAATGGGTTGATTAATAGCAAAATTATTTTAAATTTAAATTTGATTGTAACCATTGTTTCAACCTTTGATACAACATTAAATAATGAAAAGATAATAAATAATATTATAATATGTAGTATAAAATGAATAAACTGTTATAAAAAGATTGATAATCAGGGTGTGAAATAAATAAAAAAATAAATAAAATTGATATTTAATTTTATCATGACATATATGGTGTTGAAAATGAGAATATCTCATTGGGATAATTTTTCCCAACGTTTTTATAAGATGAATTTCCTCCAATGAAAAATATGATGAATATACGTATATTTCTTTTGCATATTAAAACTGTTTTTTTAGTAACAGGAAAAAAAAAACTGAATCAAATTTGAGATAAACTGAGTTGAGTGCTAATTATGAACTAAATTTATCTGAAAGTAAAATGCCCTGTTAAGGATGTAGAGGTCTGAAAATGAAATTATAAACAAAAGTATCTCAGATCAAAAATCTTATAATTTATCTTGGAATAATTTATTATTATCTTGCAAATTATTATCTTAGAAATCTCTTAGAAAGTATATAATATAATCTTATTATCCAATATCTAAAATGTATCTTATATATCTTTTAAAAAATGAACAAAAAAAATAATAGTACTACAAAAAGTAAATTTTTCAAAAAGAAAAAAATAATTCGATTACTAGTTTGAATAAATTGAAAAGCTCCTTTTCTCAAATCATCAGTCCAGTATATTTTTTTCTTCAAGCTATTCAAGTTATTTTCATCACACTTTATTTCTTTTTCCTCAAAATTTGAAGTTTTTTCTTTTTGTGATTTCTATAAAAATATAAAAAAAATAACAACATATTACAACATATATTTAGAAATAAAAAATAGTTCTAGTCTCTAAATCAATGGTTCCCAATGTGTATGTCACAAAGTAAGATAAGGGGCACAACAAGGTTTCCTCAACTTATTGTCTAACACAAATCCTTTAATAGTAATTTATTGTTAATCAAAAGAAAGATTTAAGGTACAGTTAAGAATTTTAGACACATGTAATATGCTAACATGGAGCATATTTTAATCCTTAACTTTCTGAAACTTAGTTTTCCACAGTTGCTATTCTAGAGAACAGATCTTGATTGAAATAAATATCAACAAAAAAATGTGAGTTGTTCAATCAAGCTTCATTCCATGATTCAAAAAGCTATATAATAAGTAGTAAGCTTACTCATAACACTAACTTAATTCATATTTACCTTCAAATATGGATGGTAACTTCTATCTATGTTTGTTCTTATATATTATTAATACTTATATGCACTATTATATATACATTCTCTTTAATTACAATTAAAATACATAAATGGATATAAAGTACGAGATGTAGTAAGTATCACCATTTACTTCTATAGTTTCTACGATAATTCTAAAATTTGAAATGCAAAGTGATTATAAAATAAATTTGCCGACATGTTACCTTCTAGATAGCATACCCTTTGAGTGCAAAGCATACAATTTTCGAATGTATTTTATGATCTATGCGCTCAAGAATGAGCTCTCATCAAGCTCAAAACGATTGCTTAGCTCTCACCTTCGCAGTTGCAAAATTTTGAAATTTTCGCATTGTAGCAACCTTTTTTTTTCTTTGAAATGCAATCCTAACAGAAGAAAACTTAAAATGGAGTTGGAATGATATCCTTACCACAAGCAGTTGTGACACTACCCTTTGCCAATCATCGCCTTTTTTTGTAATCACTAATCAGAAGAGTGTGATACAAACCTTTTAAAATGGTAAGAAAATTACAACCATGTCAGACGTGTGAGATTATACACGTCAAAAACTTGGTAACACATAAATTTTTTTTCTATTCTTAAAGGATATAATTACACTGTCTTCTCATTAGTGAGCCCGAAAAATAGCGGCACTTGGCAAAGGCCTAGCATTGCAATCTCTTGTCCTAAAAATATCGTTTCAACTTCATTTTTAGTTTTTACTGTGAGGATATTTCCATTTGAAAATTTCGAAACTTTGTTGCTATAACTGTAGTTATGAGAGCTAAGCAATTGTTTTAAACATCATTCTTGAAGGCATATATCTTAATAACTAAGCTTAAAAATGTATTCTTTTCACTCAAACGGTACTCGGCAGAAGGTCATGTGCCGGTAAATTTTTTTATAATCACACTGTATATAAGATACATTATATTACAAACAAATATTATATGACTGGAATGCCATGAGATAATTTTAAATTTTATACTACAACTTGGAAAAGTTTAGGGAACCCCCCTTTCTATATCAAAGCATTACTTACATAATATATGTTCAAAAAATGTTCCACCAAATTTTTTAGTACTTGTGTATGTCGTAGACTTAATCTCAGCAGTATACTTTCCGCAATAAATGATGTTTCAAATTGTAAACATGGTTTAAAATGACATTTAACTGTTGATGAAAATGACGATGGATGAATATGAGTCCATATTTCTTCATTGCAATTTGTTTGCAAGCTCAAACTTGAAACAGTTAACATCAAGTCACAACTTTTTATTTCCTCTATAAAAAAAAGAAAACTATGTAAAAATGTATTAAGAATTTTTAAAAAATTTGATTTTAGAAACAAAAACTTACCCTTACGAATTTCAAACTCACTTTCCATCTTTAAACTACCCACAGAAAATATGAGTACCTCTGATTTATCTTTTATAGAGGGAACTAAATCAATCACTAACTGTGTAGTTGATAGGGTAATTTTTTGAAACAAAGAAAGAAACTTCATTTGTTTGTCCATTTCATTTTCATTTGAAACTGGTTGCAAAATGGAAGAAGAATCTTTCACACTAAGGAATTCCAGCTGTAATCTTTCCATAAATGATTCAAAAGCTTTCCACATATTGCTTACTAAGTTAAATTTAAGAGGTCTTTCAATGGAAATAGTCATATGAGCTAGAAAAAAAGAACACCAATAAACATTGCTCCAAATAGTCACTAAATAATTTTTACAGTAAAAAATTTAATAATTGTTAAGCAACCAAGTTTAATTGTACAAGAGGGGAATCAGTTACATTAAGCAAAACTAAAACATTACTTAGTTTTGCTTGTTCTTGGTAAGCTGAACAAATAAGGTTTTTGACAAAAAAAGGGGAGAAGTGGATAAATTACTTAGGTCTCTCGGGGTCCATGTTCACTTTAAGAAGGCAAACAGCATGCTATTTCAAAATAAAAAATACACGTATTTTTTTAAGGAAAGAAGAATTCTAATATAAGATAATAACATGTAATTTGAAGCTAATTATTTCCTTATTTGTTTAATTTTTATTTTCCATTTAATAACTTTTTAGAGTTTATTAAAGCAAGTAGGAAATAAACGAACTACATTTGCTTCTTTAAGAATTAAACAGATATTTTAGTGCTTGGTTAAACATTTTACAAATAAAATGAACATTTTTCTTATTCTAATATAATAATATCTAAAATCTTTAAAATATATCAGCATCAAAACATTTTAAAAAAATGAAAAGAAAAAAATAAATAAATAAATACTGTAGAATTGTTTTAGACAGAAACCAATTAATATTAGCTATAATGTGAAAATTTAATAAAATGTTTGATACTTACTGTTTTGTTCAAAAATATCTAAACATCTAATGGTTAATAGCGCAGGTGGTATTCCAGTTTTTTGATGTAGTTCTCCCGGTTTTGTTTCCAAATAAGAAAATATAAAGTCAGTACTGACTGGAGATACTGAAATGTAAGGCTCTAGAAAGACAAATTATAGGGAATGATAAATTATGGAGAAATTATTAATAATTTTCTAAAAATTAAGAATTTTTTCAATGCTATATAGTTTTTTTAATCATCACAAAAAGCTGTCTGTTATTAATTAAAAAATTATCAATTTTCGATAGTATATTCACATATTAATTTCATGTACTTTCAAGGGAAAGGATATCTGAAAAATTGTGATAAATATTTTTTAAGTTGTTAATGTTAACGTAAAGGTTGAAGTTTTCAGTTATGAATGAATTACAAATGCAATGATTTCAACAAAACAAATTATTAGTACTATTACTATTTTATGTAGTGAAACTCCGGTTTTATGTCACCCATTTTGTAAGTTATCTAACTTCCTACACAATTTACTGCTGGTCCATGAAAAGGGCCTATATCGATAATGTAAAATTATCCCGGATTTTACATTACCCTTTTTTTAGAAAATCCCACTTCATAAGTTTTTCTAATAGATTAAAATCCTTTTTTCTCTATATTGCTCACACAAACTATTTCAGGGCTCTTTCTTTTTTAAAAAGACTTGTTTATTAGCTGTTTGAAGCTGTTCTGACATTCTTTTCATTCTATCTTATTGTCCTTTTGACAGTGAGAGGGGATTTTCCCCTTGAATCAAAATCAAAATGATGGGGGGATGGTTAAACACAACCTGGAATAAAATAAAATTTAAAACTACGTAAGTTTAGAACATAAATTCAAATCAAAAAGCCAAAATGGAAACTCAAATTGAAAAATTACATTTAGACTTTAAACTTTTTTTAAAATAGCAAATAAGTTTAAATTATCGAATTCAACATGATAGAAAATTTTAAATATATATAGGTTTAAAAATTCTGATTGCATATATTTAAATTTGAAAATAATTTTCTATGGAAATAAAAATATTAAAGGAAAGAAATGATAATAATCACAATTCTTTTGCAACAGTTTTCACTAAACTGAATTATATGGGGCTAAACTGAATTATGTAAAAATAATTTTTAAATTTGACAGAAAGTCATTGAAAAACTATTAATAACATTTTGATATTAGAATGTTCTTTTAACATTTCTCTAAAAATGAGCATATTTTGATACTCTTTAATCTATTTAAGAGTTTTTGAGCTTATAGGTTAATGGTGTACAACTCGTCCTGCTGCACATAATACAAAAAAACTTAATTAATTTTGGAGAATAAAAAAATGGGAATTTTGACTTGTGAATTTGATTTTTCCCTGAGTTAACGCACTTAATGTGCACACATTTCAAAGTAAATCTGCGAGTTTTTCTATTGCTTTTTTGGCTAGTATTGCTACAAATTTCCAGACGATTTTAAGAATCTCGATATTTTAGTTATATTATTTTACCATATATATGTTACCGGCAAAGTATGAAATCCGGCACTATATATAATCAGGGTGGCCATTCAAATCAGATTTCAAATTTCCCTGATATTTCCAGGTAAAAATTTTAAAATTTCCAGATCCCTGTTTTTTGTTTATAAAGTGTAGGACATGTACAAGAAAAATGTCGTTATTATAAAATATTTTATTCAAAAAGTCATTTTTTTAACATATCTTGAAAAAAAAATTTTTTTTGGACAAGATTTTGTTTTTTAATGCTTTGTTACAACATTAATTTTTAAAAAATTAAGACACGTGGAGAAAATGATATGCTTAGCTTGTAGGATATATTGCTTTTATTGAATAAAATTTCTTTAATGTTTTACTTTAAGTAGTATTTGCTCAAAATGGCAAAGCCTACAAAATGGCAAAAACAGAATGACCAATAAAACCTTGTTTAAGTATTGTTTAATATATTTTCATTAAGTAAAGGAAAACCGTTTCAGGTGATTATATATCAATAAATTTTTATAATTACTGTGGCTCCCAAAAGTGTTCCCTCATTTATAACTTTTATTGAAACAGGAAATAAAAATTCATTTATTAAAATGAATACTTAACAATGGGTATTTGATAATAAAAAGTGTAATCTATTATTAGCAAAACTGCATGGAATATTTTAAAAGCAAAGCAAAAGTTAATTTTTAAGATATCAATAATCAAATAGTAACAAACATTTTACCCGATGAAAACCATCGGACAGTTAAATGTTTTCGGATTTCAGAATTAAAATTATCTTCAATTGCTTTAAATTTTTTTATTTAATTATTATTCATTTAATTTTTTATTTATTTTTTTGCAATTTAGTATCAAACTTATGATAGCAAAATTATATTTTAATTTTTGCTTACTAACTTCGTAATATTTTATTATTTAAAAACGGCTCGTGGTCCTAATAAAACAATAGATCAAATTTGATTATTTGTCATCATAAGAGGTATTTTGAAAGAGTACAATGGCTTTTGTGGGATAAAGTTTTTGTCACTTTTTGATGATTGATTTCTTCAAAATAAACTTTTCCTTTGTTTTTAAAATATTACATACAGTTTTGTTAAGATTAGAATACATTTTTTATTATTAAATATCCATTCTGAAATATTCATTTTAATTAATGGATAGTCTTATTTCATTGAAAGTCATAAGTGTACGAACACTTTTGTTTGTGAGTCACTGTAATTACATTTCAATATAAAGCTGTACTGTATACTATATTATACTGTATTTTATCTTACCAGTATTTTAATAAAATTCATTGATAACATTTTCTTTAAACCAATATCTCAAGACAAATTTTTAAATAATGTTGTTCTGAATTAGCATTTTTATTTCCAGAGATTCAAAATACAAAAATAAATGTCACAAATGTAAAATTGTCTAATTTTTTGTTCTATACTCTAAAGAAAAAAAATAGATAAAATTCCTTAAATTTTACACTTTTATTATTTTTTTCCTCACTTGAAATTAAAACATTTAAAGAATTCTAATCTAAACACACAGTTTTTTAGTTTAGTATGGTTAATTGTTTATGTTTTAACAACAAGAATCTTGTACAGCACAGAACTAAAACACATAAGTTTCGTTTTCCTTCTTCCGACTAAACACATATGAATAAAAAAAATTATATTTTATGTTTATACGTCATTTTTTATGATTCCTATGCATTCCTTAGTCTTTGTCAGCTTTTTACTGATAACTATACAATTCGAATTTTGAATTAAAAATCAAATATTTATCAACAAGCAGTAAAATTAAATATTAATATATAGTCAGTTCTAAAAAAATCTTTTTTAAATTAAAATATGTTATAAAAGGTAAAAATGAAGTAGAAAAAATTAGCATTAACAAACATTGATGTTAGCAACTGTAAAAAAACTGATTTGTTGGTTTGGTGAAAAAAAATAATTTACAGATTTCTTTGAATGGGAGTACAAAAGCTTACAGAGAAAGAGTGCAATATAAAATCTATTATTAATTATACCCAACTAATTTTCAGATATTTTTATAAAGTTAAAAATGCAAAAAAATTTTGACTCATTTTGTCAAAATAGAAAAAAATTACCACTAAAGCATCGAAACAAACTTGAGCCATAAATGGCTCAAGTTCGCCCACGGACAGAATTTAAAAATAGAAGCAAATATCCTAACCCCTTCTTCCACGTCCACCACAATCCTTGCGTTTCCTAAATTGCGCAGTCGCATAGTCTCCGTAGAGATCAAAGATTTCTACATTTGTTTAGAAACTAAGGGAGAATTTTATGTGGCATTCTAGTTTAACAGGGTTATAATAGAGCAAATTTTGAATGCAAGCAAAGTATAGCTAAGTTGATAACATTTTAACTGTTTGGAGACACATTTCTGTCTAAAAAATGTGGGTATAATGGATGAAATAATTTAAATTAAGAAAATTAGTAAATAATTTAAATTAGTGAAATTAAAAAAATATCTAAGAAAAAAATTTCCAGCTTTTCTTTAAAATTCCCTGATTTTTCCAGGTTTTTATCCAAATTTCCCTGATTTTTCCAGGTTTTTATCCAAATTTCCCTGATTTTTCCAGTATAAAAAAATTCCCTGATAATTCCAGGTGGGTGGCCACCCTGATAATGCTTAAAACTAGCCGGCAAAGTATGAAATGATTTATATTTCACACATTGCCTAGGCATTCTATATAATGCCGGATGCTATTTAGGCAAAGCACGAAATAAACGTCCTGATGAGGCTATTATGTAAATGATGTGCATGTTACTTTGAATGACCAAAATCGGTGGTTGTTGACTTTCACTGGTGAATGTTGACAATCACTTTGGTGAATGTCCGAAAGGGAGGCATTGTTTTCTACATATTTTTATTGCCAAATCTAATAAAATCAAAATTAAGTCAATAGAATTTTATTTTCAAAGTTTGCGTAAAAGGGTACATGAAAAAATTTATAACTATTGTATAAAACACCCTCGTAACTTCTGAACTTTTAGTGCTACTCACTTCGTTTCAATCACATTCACCTTATCTAGGCATAAAATTAAGTATTTTACACATCAACCACAGTAACGTCAGTAGCTTAAAAAGGTCTGAAACAGTAAATACTAAACTGTGCATTTTATAGATAAGAACTTTTATACTTTTTAAAATAATAATTCCATTGATTATAGATAGCAGTGTTAAAAATATATATAAGTAAAAATTTGTATTATTTTTATATCAAATCTTAATAGCTCATAAACAATTATTCTGATCAACTTGTGTTTATCTCCATTAGTTTTAGGATAAATAAATACATTGAGAGCACTACCTTACTTGTCTAGATAGCATTGTTTAAGCTTATTCCTTTTTTGACCTAAATCCCTTCAGTAAATTCACGATAGCACCAAAGATCACGTCCAATGAGAGGTCAAATTTTAGATATTCACATCAAACCTGAACCAAAACTTTAAAAATGGTTACCAGCTTTTCCCTTATTATTTTGGGGCTGAGCTTATTTTTTCATGGAACTGGTCACTTTGTATATGGGCAAACTGGGTTTACTCATAATAGTTAATTATGAAACATTTACTCTTATTTTGTGAAAACTTTTTTTGGTTTAAAAAAAAAATGGAAACATTTACTTTGGAAAACAAAGTGAGTTAAAATCAATTACTTACTTTCAACAATGAAATCAGCTGGTGAGCCACTTAGCTCAATATCAAAACATGATGACTCAAATTTCTGAGAGGAAGGTTGACAAAGTAAATAACTATGTGGTTGAATAACAGATAAATACAAAAATGGATGTAACTCTTTATTTTCGTTGTTTTCTATTGCATTTTTGAAGTTTTTGATCATTTTGCTTTGATTATTTGTGTTAGAAGGATCTAAACTAGATATTTTTGAAATGTTATAATAATAAAGCATAGCAGATACTGTTCCAGCTGTAACTAGTACTTCAAATGGTACAAAATTATGACTTGGAACTTTTTCAAATTCGGTAATGAAAGGATCTTCACTTTGAGAATGCAAAATAGATTTTAAATTAAAATTCACACTATCAGAAATGCTGTCCTCCAAAAAGCCAGTACCAATATTATGACTATGATTACTGTACAACTCAAGTAAGAAATTTACATTATTTTGTAGAAGAGCATTCAACAAACAGATTTGTTGAGTACTTAGATATAAGCTAACTTCATTAGTAACATTGATTTCCACAGATATTCCAGCAACAAGAATGTTCTAAAAATAGAAAAAAAATTACATAAATTTAAATATATTATGAAGCAAGTAAATCAAAATAGAAAATATTTCAGGACATCTTATGATAAAAATCAATATGGGTATTAATTGCATCAATAGAATCTATCAAACCTTATGATAAAGGACCTTATATATTTCTAAAACTTAATATAAAAAGTTAAACATTAGTTATATATATATATATATATATATAAGATAAATAAATAATAAATAAGTTAACAAATTGCCAAAAGTACTGTGGTGATGTTCAGTTCATCACCACACACATTAAGATAAGAATAAAAATGAATAACAATTAAAAATAATATACTCTTAAGTAAGAGAACAAGATCATTAGAATGATCACTAATGGCAAGGTGTTAAAACTATTTATTTAATATAGATCATTTAAGATATTTAGAGTTACAAATTTTGTTCCAAGAAGGCATTCACTCCAATTAATAATAGGTACATAAAAAATTTAACATTAAATTATACATTATGAAGCTGCACTGCTAATAAATAAAAAATAATTATGGGGTGATAGAAAATTTTATAATATAACTTAGCTGTTGAGGATCCTCATATTTTTGTATTTTAACCTCAGCTCTCCAAAAACCATGTGTGTCCTTGCCTTTTCTCTCACCTCCTCTAACCAAGCCCCCAAAGCATACTCAACTCTTATTGGCTGTTACCACCATCACAAAATAAGTAGGGCTATACTTGCTATTTCTTTTTTATTTTTGGTTTTGGCTAAATTATTTAAGGGCAGAAAAGGGCAGGTGAAAACTTATGAAAGAGAAACTAAAACTTTAAAGTAATTATAGCAGTGCAGCAAGGATAAAAGTAACAAAACATCATAAAAGCAATACCACATATATATAAAAGTAACAAAACATCATAAAAGCAATACCACAAATATATTTCCCCCTGGGGAAAAAAGTCACTGACTAGTAGTATCTTTTGGAAGAAGTCACTGATTAGTTATTCTTGCATAAGGATGGTTACCGTTACAGCACAAACTATGGAGTCTGATGTTGAAGAGAAGTGATGTGGGAGAACTGAGTGATCAGGATGAGCAGTGTGTCTCTTAGGAAAGTTCAATTCAGTAAATTAACATGAAGGTGTTGTGTTTTATGGATGAGGTTGCAGCAGGGATCAATGATGCATATAGGTATCATGAAATATTATTTTTTTTTAGACAATGGCTGCCACCCAGCTGAGCACTTACCAATGAAAAGCGAAACAATCAAGAGATATTTGTGGCCTTATAATGCCTCAGGAGTGCCTATCTTTCACACGCCATTGAAGAGCTCAGAAGTTAGAGGGGACGGCACGATTTTCTGGCGAGGATTCAGCAAACACTTTCACTTTGAGACAGATCCACTCACAGGCAACAACTCAGCAGTCACTTCCATAGGACTGATCCACTCAGACTCCCAACCAGACCAATTCTGAAAGAGTTCCACTTAAACGTCCTTAAAGTTCACATTAAATTGCTTTTAGTTCAGTAACATGAAGAGATTTAGTCACAAAGCTTTCTTGATTATCATGATAAGCACTTTACACATACACAACATAAAGAATTATAATATATGTATACAATGACAAAAACATAGTATAAAATAGCACATTACATACACATTATTACAAAGTAGTTACACCCTTTTATTTTTTTACAAATCCCTGAGGATCTCTAGGTCTGAGATTATATCTCGGTTCTACCACATCTGACGAATCAGATTCTGATAAAGAATCATTTAAAAATGAAACGGGTGAAATAGATGTATCACGAAAGAAATCATATGAAGAATTACTTTCTTCACTTTGAACATCTGTTTGTACATCACGATTTAATTGAGCCCTACAGGGTTGTGATACAAAATAACCAAAACTTAGTAATTCTTTCTCATTAATGGGCTTCATTAAGGCAGGATATAATTTTTTATCCGCAGCAGGGTGTCTAACCTCACACCCTTTAAGGTTATCACTAATTACAGAATTTTCTTCCTCAAATATGGAAGACGATGGAAATATTTCTCTCTCTGGAATTTTTATTATACGATTGACATGAGATGTAGTAGTTTTTAATGGGTTAGCTACTAAAGTTAATTCAAACAGGACAGGGGAACATTTCTTTGACACCCTATAAGGACCATGGTTTAATTTTGAGAGTTTTTTCGAGGTGTGAACTTTAATTTTAGGTGTATGAAGATAAACCAAATCACCTAATTTTATATCTTTGATATGTCTAGTTGTGGCAGTAGAAGCAACCTGGTTATCAGCAGCTTTCTCTAAATTTTCTTTTACAATGGCAAATGCCTGTTGCAATCTAGGAATCAATTCTTGAACATAGGTAGGATTATCATTGTATGTCCTAAACTTTGACGAAAATATTAAGTCATATGGCATCACAAGATCACGACCATATACTATATATGCTGGGGTTTGCTTTATTGTACGATGGAATGCTGTGCGAAAAGCCATTAGAGCCAAGGGAACACGTTCACACCAATCTGTTTGGTTTATACTAACAAGATGGCTGAGGGAATCAATGAGTGTTTTGTTTAATCTTTCTACTACACCGTTTCCTTGCGGATTATAACTTACAGTATGCTGCTTTTGAATGCCAAGTGTATCATATACTTGTTGCATTGCTTCGGAAATGAAATTCGTTCCTCGGTCTGAGTAAAAAGTTTCCATGAGTCCATGACGTGAAATGAAATCAATCAAAACTTTAGCAACAGTAGAGCTTTGGATGTTAGGTACAGGATATGCCTCAGGATACCGTGAAAAATAGTCTGTTATAACAAGTAACCATTTATTTCCATTTTTTGAAGTCACTAGGGGTCCAACTGCATCAATGCTACATTTTTGAAAGGGTCTACTGGCAGTTGGAATCTTTTGTAAAGGTGCCTTGTTTGAGGCTTTAAATCCTTTACGTTCAATACACGAGGGACAAGAAGCAACATAATTTTTAACATTTTTGTACATATTATACCAAAAAAAATTTTCTTTGACTCTATGAAGGGTTCTAGACAAACCTGGGTGGGCAACACTGTTATTATCATGACATTGTACTAATACAAGTTGAATTAAAGTTTTGGGAACAACTAGTTTAGGATTTAAGGAATTAACCCTAGAGCACAGTAAGACACCATTCTTTAGAAAAAAATTTGGAGAAGACGGGGAAAATTTTACATGAACACTTAATTTTCTCACAATTTTCTGGCAATGAGGATCATTTTTCTGTTCATCTATTAATTGGTTTTGTGATAGGTTAACTAACTGAAAGACTTTTAAATTGTTTTCTTGGGACTGTACACAATTTATGGTATCATTTGTTTTTAACCGCGATAGGTAGTCTGCCATAAGATTCAATTTTCCTGCCTTATGTATTACTTTGTATGAATAAGATTGCAAGGTCATTATCCAACGTGCAATCCTTGAATTATGATCTTTTAGATTTAGTACGTAAGATAAGCTCTTTTGATCGCAATAAATGGTGAATTCTTTTCCGATTAAATATTGTTTGAAGTGTTGAACACCAAAAATAATTGCCAATGCTTCCTTTTCAAAAACAGAATAATTTATTTCACTATCCTTTAATTTCCTAGAGGCAAAACTGATAGGATGCTGAAAACCAGTCTCATCTTCCTGAACTAATACAGCACCCAACGAATGTTTACTCGCATCAGTACAGAGAGCAAACTGTTTATCGAAATCTGGTAAAGCCAGGCACGGTTGAGATATTAAATGGTTTCGCAATTTTTCAAAAGCGTTTTGCTCAAGTTCAGTCCAAACAAAAGGAACCTTTTCTTTGGTAATATTAGTAAGGGGAAGAGCTAATTTCGAGTAATTTGGTATGAACCTACGATAAAAGCCTGTCAAACCAATAAATGCTCGCACCTCACGTTTACTCTTAAGAGGAAGAGCCCTTTGAATAGTCTGAATGTTTTTAGGATCTGGCATTACTTTTCCTTCTATAACACGGTGGCCAAGATAAGTTACTTCATCTTTTAGCAAAGAGCATTTTTTTGGTTTTAGCTTTAGGTTTGCCTGATTGAGACGTTCAAACACAATACGCAGCTTTTCCATGTGCTCGTCAAATGTCTGACTTGCTATGATGACATCATCAATATAACAGTCAACAGATAAGTCTGACAAACCGGCCAATACAATGGACATTAGTCGTTGAAACCTAGAACTGGCATTTTTTAAGCCAAAAGCCATGCGCACATATTCAAAATTTCCAAGTTCAGTGGCGATTCCGGTTAAATGAGCATCATTGGGATGCATGTGCATCTGGTGAAAACCCGACGTTAAGTCTAAACTAGAGAAAAACTTTGAACCCGAAAGTAAATCTATCATTTCATTTAAATTTGGTATAGGAAAATTATCAGGTAAAGTTTTTGCATTTAGTTTTCTTAAGTCAGCTACCAACCGATATGAACCATCCGCCTTTTTAACTAGAAGGACGGGAGCAGCATAGCTAGACGTTGACGGCTGAATAATTCCCGCATCTAACAGTTTGTTAAGCTGACTCTTCATTTCTGCTTTTAAATGATAAGGCACGCGGTAAGGTTTCTGACGAACGGGAATATCATCGGTCAACTTAATGCGGTGCTGAACCAGTGAGCAAGAACCTAATTCACTTACATCATTTGCAAAAACATTCTTGAATTCTAGCAAAAGATCGGAAATCATCTTTCTTTGATTTTCATTCAAGTGGTTCAGATTAAACAGTTTCAAAAAATCGTAGTCGTTTTCAGTAATTGTGTTTATCATTGATTTCTCACTATGTTTAATTTCTTCGACTGTGATATCTTTGATTGTGCTTATTTTAGCATTTTTGTTTAACGCAAGGGTACTATCATTAGGGTTAAAAATTTGAATCAAGCATGTGGAATTATCCAAAACCTCAGTTACAGCATGAGCAACAAAATAATTAGCTTCTTTAATGTTAGTATTAGGTTGAATATATATAAAGTCACCTTTTG